AGACTATGAAATAGTAGGAACAGAGACTGTGAAATAAATATTCAGAAATCTGGCATTTAGGCCAGACTAGCTTCTTCCCCTGAGATTATAGTGATATCTGGGAGAACGCTTGGTTGTTTAAAGTATTTCTTAAAACCCCAAGTTTGCTCAGGTGTCAAAGACTCATTCCTTTAGGACACGGTCATGAGAAAGTCTATTTCAGCCACACAGGATAAATAGCAGACGATTGAAGCACACAGAAGACAGGTAGAGCTTCCAAGAGGGAGGAATTTTCTTCTCTTGGCACAAACGTTTTCAGAAACAAGACCAGAGCGTTCTTGTCAGTCAGCCAAGGTCGCACCTCATCCTCAGCCTTGTGGGAGTCGTGGGTGCCTGTGTGCGTGATTACTAACAGGATTTGCATCCCAGGGATTTTGTTTTGTTGCAGCCTTAAAAGCCACGATCTTTCAGTTTGATCTTAACTCTGCTTTCCTCTGGCTCCTTAAACTTTTGCTTAGTAGAAGCTGCATCTTCAGAACTGGCACCACAGCTGTTTGTAAGAGCTGAGAACACAGGGGAAGTTTGCAGTTCACACCCTGACAGGTTACAGCCACGTTTACTTGCTCTTATTTCTGGAATAGTGAGTACACGGTGTGCTCTACCTTCAGGAATGTTCCCGTTAGGAACCTGTAAGCCCGAACTGTAGAGAAACTTGCTGTCATCACCCAGCAGGGCCCCCAGGACTACTGTCTTCCATTCATTAGGAATCCACCAGATGTCTAGTATCTTAGGGCAGGAGGCTGGTAAGGTCAGAGCTCGCTGCCTTCTGCCTTTTTCTCATTTCACAGATAAAGAAACTGAGGCTCAGGTAGTCTTACAGACTTGCTGAAGCCTTTTCCAGGAACACACCAGTAGGGGCTCACTTTGCCTCTCCCCCAACGTGATCACAGGCTCACTGCATTGCATTCCACTTAGGTCAAGCACCTCTTTCTGCCTCTCACCTTTTCCCTGGGGGAGAAGTAGAGCCCAAACATGCCAAACCTTTACTTTTCACCTAAACTTGATCAGGCCACTGATTTAGAAATTGAAGTGAGGCAGGGAGAAAGGGGGAGCTGGAGGAAGGGCAGCTAGAAAGTTGCTAGAGGTTTTACTAAAACCCACCATCCTGGATACAGCTCATCTTATCTGATCTCGGATGCTGAACAGCTGGCCTTGCATCTGGTTTATGGACTAGGCTGGTCGCTATTGAGGAAGCCACAAATCAGGCAGAAAGAACCCTCCCTCAGTAATAGTCTGTTCAGGAAACAGAGATGGGATAAAGTAGCAAGGAATTAAAGAGTTACCCCAGGCAGAGGGGGCTGCACTTTGAACCTCTGCTGGCCAATCACAGACAACTTCTGTTCCAAAGCATCATCCGATGAAATAACGTGGCCTCTCCCAATCATACGGGTAACTTCTAGGCCTAAGAATCCCCTAAAAGGAAGGAGGGCTGGGAAGCAAAGTAGAGGACAGTGTGCCCCCTCCAACAGCCACAGTCCTTACAACACCCACCGCCCCCCAACTTGGTTTTAACCTCAGCCTTTCCATTCCTGCCAATCAAAGGTATCACACAAATTGGGCTAGTAACTACAGCAATGATTTTCCAGCTCATGATGGCCATTACCTGGACCGCTGCATCTCTGTCTCTGAGGGCAATGGAGAAATGGAAGGGGCTGAGCTCAGCAGAGAATAATTAGGGCCTACAGAGGTAAGCCAGGTGTCTGTAAGTGTGGGGTGCTCCTGACCTGAGGGTTTAAGGTGGCTGAATTTCACCTTCTGTGTTGATCCTCCAGAAGTACAATTCTGTAGAGTTTATTTTTAATTAAAATATTCACTTTTCTTTCTTATTGCAAAGACATTAAGACAAAAAATGAAAATTAATATAAACAAAGGACAAACCACCCATAATTTCTGTCACACAGAGTGAGCCACGTTTAATCGTTTGTTGTATGTAATCTTTCCTTTTGAAAAAAAAAAAACCAAAATGGAATACTAATATATATTGTTGTATGATGCGCTTCATCAGTTAGCAGTACACTGCGGTTATCTTTCTAAGAGAATATGTATATAAAATATTATTTTTAGTGATTGCATGCCACTCAGTCGTGTGAATTCACTACGTGTTATTCATCCTGGTCCATCTGTTGGACATTGAAGCGCGTCTAAATTTTGACTGTTAGAAATCACACTCGTTAAATCTGATCATATGATTTTATTTATTTGTAATAAATCCCTCAAATTAGAATTTTGAGTCCAATATGCACACATTCTTAAGGTTTGGTGCATACTGAAGAACTGCTGTTAATGAACATTCCTACCGGCCAGTGTATGTCTGTTTCTCAAACTCACAACAACACTGAACACCATTGGTATTTTCTTCTGGTTTTGACCATGCTCACTTGTAAGCATTTAAGAATACAAAATCCTAGGCCGGGCACGGTGGTTCATGCCTGTAATCCCAGCACTTTGGGAGGCCGAGGCGGGCGGATCACGAGGTCAGGAGATCGAGACCAACCTGGCTAACACAGTGAAACCCCGTCTCTACTAAAAATACAAAAAAATTAGCCGGGCTTGGTGGCGGGCGCCTGTAGTCCCAGCTACTCAGGAGGCTGAGGCAGGAGAATGGCGTGAACCTGGGAGGCAGAGCTTGCAGTGAACCGAGATCACGCCACTGCACTCCAGCCTGGGGAACAGAGAGAGACTCCGTCTCAAAAAAAAAAAAAAAAAAAAGAATACAAAATCCTTATACTTATTATGATTGATACTAATTTGCATGCCTAGAGGCCTAACACTGTGCTGATATTAGGATCCAAAAAGGACACACACAGTCACCTGGCTCAAAGATTCTCAGGACAAAGGCAATCTGTAAACACAAAGAATCAGAAATTACCCAGTGTGGGAATACAAATCAAAGAAAGGATACATATGGAAGGGTGGAGGGAACACAAAGTGCATAGATAACATATTATTCCCAGTGCCCTAGTTTTGAGATCATGACGTGTGCAATGACACATTTATTAACAGAATTCCCTTATGGATTCCTAATAAATGTGAGGTACCATTCTAAGTAATTATGCAATCTCACAGTATCTTTATAACATCCCTCCAGGAGGGGTGTTACTCTGCTCATTTTGATATTCAGGAGACTGAGGCACAGATTTAACTGACTTGTCCAGGGTCATGTACACTGGTAAGCGTCTGAGCCAAAAAACATTCATGGGATTTTGCTTATGGTTCCAGTGAGCTTTTGGACTCAGATGATTTCGCAAATTGACCCCAAGCTGTCCTAGCAGAGGAGAGAGAGAAACTGCAGGTCAGGGAAGAAGCAGTTATGATGCATTTGGTTTGGAGAGAAGCAACCTCCCAATCCGTGCATGTTCTCACTCATAGGTGGGAACTGAACAATAAGATCACTTGGACTCAGGAAGGGGAACATCACACACAGGGGCCTATCATGGGGAGGGGGGAGGGGGGAGGGATTGCATTGGGAGTTATACCTGATGTAAATGATGAGTTGATGGGTGCAGCACACCAACATGGCACAAGTATACATATGTAACAAACCTGCACGTTATGCACATGTACCCTACAACTTAAAGTATAATAATAATAAATTAATTTTAAAAAAAATGAGCAAAAAAAAAAAAAAAAAAAAAAAAAAGAAGTGACCCTCTGAGACAGGCCAAAGCTAAGCCTCCTTAATTCCATCCTGGGGGCTTGCTACTCAAGGAAGATAAGTAGAGAATAGCTATTGGCTATTCTTTCCCTCTTCTCACTTCAGACTGCCAGGGGTTCTCATACTTCAGTCTACTTAGGGATATATGAGGACCTGTTGAACATGGATTCCCAGAGCAACCTCAAAACATTCTGGTTCAGAGGGTCTGGAGAGAAGCGCTGGAATCTGCATTTCTAACCATCAGGAGAGACTGATGTAGGTGGTCCTTAGATCAAGCCTTGAGACTCATAGCAAGTTGACTGTGCTCACATAATCCTGAGATGAATGTGAGACGCCAGCTCCTTCCCTGCCAGAGTAATCAGAAAGCAAGCCCACAGTAGGTGGGAATTCAACCCTTTATACTCATGTGGATTTTCCTGGCTAATAGTTGGGCCATCTTACTTGGGAGTAGCAATGGCTTCCCAACGGTCCTGTCATCCCTGTGATATTTCAGACAATTAAGAGCTGCCCCCAGCTCCTTGCCCTGACCTGTGTAGAGGGAGGGTTAGTATTTCATGCATCAATAACCAATCAGTAGCACCCTAAAAGCCTGGGTGAGGGATACAGACTGTGCCAACTTGTCAGGAAACCTTATAGCCATAAGCTTACTTATTTCATAAAAATGTCCTAGAAGATGGAATCAGCAAGTGATAATTATCATCACTATTACTGGGATCATCGTCGTCATCAACACCATTGTCAAATCTACCATTGATGGACTGGCTCTCTTTGCCCAGATATTTTGCCAAGGGCTAGTCTTGTATGATCTCTTTTAGTCTTTACCATATCACTTAGGGGAAGACCTCATTACAGTTTTATCCCTGTTTTACAGAGCAGGAGAAGAAGGCATAGAAAGGGGAAGTAATATGTCCTACGTCACTCAACTAATGTGTGGTGGAGTCAGAATTCCAGCCCGGGCCATCTGACTCCATTTGAGTAGTTTCCATGGTTCTTATTTTACTGGTGGAGAGGGACAGAGGGATCATGTGACTTGCCCAGGAACATGAAGTTTGTCAGGCATATCACTGGATCAATCACCAGGATCCTACTGACTAGCTGCTTCGGCCTCCTTCTGCAAGGTTGCTGCTTCTAGATGGTATTAAGACAGACTCTGAAAAGGGAGAGTTTTGGTTAACTAATGGCACTGAATAGAAAGCAAGCTGTGATCCTCAGGTAACTCTACACTGTCATACAAGTTCCTGGCAGGAGTAATCAGGAGGCTGAGCCTCTCACAGCTCTGCAGTGATACAGGTGTTAGATGCCATCCATGGCTCTCAAAACAGGTCTTGAGGCCCCAGTTGAGTCTGAGCTCTGTTCAGGGATTGAATGCCAGGGTACCACCCAACACCAGTTCTGATGCTCTTTGCCAGTGTGCTGGTGACTTGCCTTGAGGCTGCTAAACTCACTGTAGGCTTCCAGGCCCCCTGGAACATCTCCCATCCATTCAGCATGCAAAGGTTGGGTGCAGGCCTCCAGATTGCCTTGGACAAGGTCAACTCAGAGCTAGTGGACCTTGGAAATTTCAGCTGGGAGTTCACTTACACCAACTCAGCCTGCAGCACCAAGGAGTCTCTTGCTATTTTCAACAACCAGGTCCAGAAAGAACAGATTTCTGCCCTGTTTGGACCAGCATGCCCAGAAGCAACTGAGGTAGAATATATATAGCCTCTGGAAACTTTGAGTTTCCATTGGAAGGGGTGGCCTTCAAGATGATGGTACAGATTTGAATAATCTCCTGGCAAGGGTCACATTATTATAATAATAACCGTGTAGATCTTGAATACCATTTTTGAGATGCAATTAGACTATATAATTAGAAGAGTTAACATTCTCTTTAGAAAGTCTTTTTCTCTCTTTCTTTCTTTCTTTCTCTTCTTTCTTTCTTTTCTGCTTTCTTTCCTTCTTTTTTTTTGAGATGGAGTATTGCTCTGTTGTCCAGGCTGCAGTGCAGTGGCATGATCTCGGCTGACTGCAGCCTCTGCCTCCCAAGTTTAAGTGATTCTCCCACCTCAGCCTCCCTAGTAGCTGGGATTACAGGAGTGCCCCACCATACTCAGCTAATTTTTGTATTTTTAATAGAGATAGGGTTTCAGCATGTTGGCCAGGCTGGTCTCAAACTCCTGACTCAGGTGATCCACCAATCTCGGTCTCCTAAAGTGCTGGGATTACAGGCGTGAGCCACCATATCTGGCCAGAAAGCCTTTCAGATCAATAATTGTTCATTCACCTACCCTCTTCCTCCTCTTGTTGATTGTTTGAACTTGATGCTGTTGCATATAGACTCTTATTGTTTACTCTCATGTTCCTAAGCTATAAGGCTTAGGAAATTAAGAAGAAACAAATGCGTGGTTTTAAATAGAAAATTATCAATTGTTTGAGTAGGCTTTTCTTTGGTGCATATAATAAATTAATCAGTGAAAATGCAAGTAAATGAGAAAGAATCAAGTATGGCAAACTACCTTACCTACAGTAAGAAAATGAGGGAAATGAATGACCTGTATTTGTTTGGTTGTTGGGATGAGTTTTGTTGGTGTCCTTGGGTGTCATGTCACCTGAAAAGTGTTGATGCAAAAGGTGAACAGGAAGGAGCAGCACAGGTCTTGCTCTCAACAATATTGTAGAACTATCACTAGTTGGAGCTGCAGAACTAAGTTTACATTTAAATTTGAGCCAATCTTTCCTGGAATTCCCCATCTGACACATTTCTATCTGTTCAAAGGCTACCTGTCTAAGAGTTAATATCAAATGTCATGGAGCCTTTCTTTATCCCTTTATCTCTGCCCTCCATATCCCTAGTTCCCCAATCAAAAGTAATTGTTTACTTCTCTAAATGCCTATAAATCTATTATCTATACATCTTAAAGAATATATTTCACTTTAAAGCTATTTTTTATATACCTTGGTTCTTGTAATAAACCATGAGCTCCTTCAAGAGCAAGGTCTCCAAAGTTTTTGTATGTGATAGGCCCCTAATTAAAATGAATGAAAAATGAATAAGGGAGAAATTAAGAAAGAAAGAGAGGATGAGTAACTATGAGTGTGGGCCTTGGAACCATATTACATGAATTCCAACCCTGCTCCACTATTTGCTAGCTATGTAACTTACATCTCTGTGTCTTCCTGTTGTATCTTAAAAAGGGGGTAATAGTAACACCTAGAAATGTTGTGAAAGTTGAAATGATATATGTAAGCTCTTAGAGTGCTCAGCACATAGTAAGTGCTCAATTAATGCTTGCTTTTGTTATCTTTGTTCTCTGAGACTGACTTTGTCATCAACATTACAAAAGCAACAGCCCGGTATGACCCATAGACTCACAGAATCTGAGGTTTATGCAGATGTCTTACACTGGGGTTTGCGTGTACATAAACTCAATTGTGCAAAGACATCCTTTGTGTTATTTTCAAGGCTATCGGTTTGCTGGCCTCTGAGTGGAACATCTCCATGTTTGACTTTGTTGGACAAACCAAAAAGCTGTGTGACACCTGTGTGAAACTTGTGCCACCCAAGCAGGACATTGGTGACGTGCTCCAGAAAAGTCTCCAGTACCTGGGCTGGAAACACATTGGGATGTTTGGAGGCTACGCTGGGGCTTCCTCCTGGGATGGAGTGGATGAATTGTGGAGAGTTGTACAGAACGAACTCAATTCCCATTTTATCATCACTGCCAGCATGAGATACACCAAAAATAGTTTAGTCCTTCTTCAAGAGCATCTTTGGAGGATATCATCAATTGCCAGGGGTAAGTAGAAAAGTCTTCTGTTGCTTTTATTTGGAGAGAAAAATGAGACAAGCAGGTTATTTGGAAAAAAAAAAAAAAAAAAAAACTCTTCATTTTTCTCTGAGTGTAAAAACAGATGGAAACAAGGTACAAAATTAATACTATATAAAAGCAATTTCCTTTATTGCTTGACATCACTAACAAAAAATTGTGGGTTGCTTTTGGTTTTTTTTTTTTTTTTTTTTTTTTGGTCTAAAGTAAAACCCCACATGCTACAGTGTTATGAAACACAGAGTAAGTTCTAGAAGCATCTTCCAGGTGGGCTGGGTCCTGGAGTTCACTATTTGTTTACAGTAGGGGCTCTGCAGACTGACAGACCTAGGTTTGAATCCAGTCTCTGACACTTTTAAACTGTGTCCTCCTTGGGTAAGTACCTTAATCTCTCTGTCTCAAGTATCTTATCTATAAAATGGAGACAATCATCCTACCTATGTCATAGAAAGGGGAGGATTAAATAAGGTTACACCTCTAAAGTGCTCAGCACCATGTCTGGACAAGTAGTTGGTCAACATACGACAGCAATTATTTTTGTGGTGATATCTATAAGGCTCAACTTTCTAGCATGAATTAGTAACTGACTCCTTTCTGTTCCTCAGATAAACTAAACTCTCTCCAGCCTTGAGACTTTAGGGTTTTTTACTCCCTTGGCCTAGGGTGTCACCTGCACCCACTCCACCCAGTGATGCTAATGTGGGACTCTCAGATACAAGTGGCTCTCACCTCTTTTTCTTCCACAGCCACCTCCCTGTGTCCCTGTTGAAGCTCTAATAAAGGGCTTGAAAGACCAACATACTGATCCAATGAGGCAATTCTTATGTGGTCTGAGTCACACTCCAGCCTACCCAGCACCTTCTTGAGGGTAGCTTCCTCTCATCCTTGCATCATTGCTGACTGGGTCCAGAGTCCACCTCCTCAGGGAGGCCTTCTCTAATGACACGATGTGAAGTTGCTTCCCCTCCCCACCCATTAGCATCACAGCATCCATTTCCAACCTCACTAATTAGAATCTTCAGTGATCTCTTTAATCTGTTCACTTGTATGCTGTCTGTCTGATGGCTCGTTCGCTGCTATATCTGTGCCCAGCACAGTGCCTGACACAACATTGGAGCTCAGATAAATCGACTATAATTTACTTCATTTAAAAAATAAACTGGCCGGGTGTGGTGGCTCATGCCTGTAATCCCAGCACTTTGGGAGGCTGAGGCGGGCAGATCACTCGAGGCCAGGAGTTGGAGACCAGCCTGGTTGACATGGTGAAATGCTGTCTCTACTAAAAATACAAAAATTAGCCAGGTGTGGTGGTGCACGCCTGTAATCCCAGCTATCCTGGAGGCTGAGACATGAGAATTGCTTGAACCCAGGAGGCAGAGGTTGCAGTGAGCCAAGATCATGCCACTGTACTCCATCTAACCTGGCCAGTAGAGCGAGACTCTGTCTCAAAAATAAATAAATAAATAAATAAAACCCACTACTTCATTTGTATATTCTGAAAATGAACAGTGATATGATTAAATGGCAGAAAAGTACCACGGCCTACTCCTCCCTCCGGCCAGCCCAGCTCAGAAAGTCTAAATGCCCTTGATTCTAGGTCCTTTGTGAACTCCTCTTAATTGAGGTGTGGCTGACAAGTCACAAGCCAGGTCTGCTGTTCTGATTTTTGAGCCAAAAAGAAGAAAAAACCTAGAGCACAGAAGTGATCTCAAACTTTTTTGACTTGTACATTGTGAGGAGGCTGCAGTAAAGACTTCAGTGCTATAGCTGCTAGTTTGTACACTGCAGGCTTGGTTAAAGAAGTAAAACCTCAGGGACTAGTTTAGGCATTCCTGTTTCCTAAAACATGCCCAAGGAAAGAAAAAGTTCATGTCTCTTTTACAGTGGCTTTAGGCTAGACTTAGAGAGAGTGAGAGCATGTATGAGAGCGCACACATACACGAGCACGTGCAACTGGCTGACTCTGATTTTCATTCTTATAGTTATCATCTTAATCTGCAGCTCAGAGGATGCAAATATTATTCTGCTGGCTGCAGAGAACCTGGGACTCAACACTGAAGAATTCATTTTCATCATTTTGCAGCAGTTGGAGGTGGGTCCCGTCGACCACTCAATGGCTCTGGTAGTAAGAGGTAGCAAGTATGGAGTACTCACTATGACCCGGATGCATCAGCTCACTGAGCACTCACTACAACCCTATGACGTAGGCACTCTTGCATCCTCATCTTAAAATTAGGAGACTAAGACGGAGCTGGAAGAACTTACCCAGAGTTCTTCTGCACCGCTAGTGAAAGGCTGAACCAGGTCTTGAACCAGGTCGGCTGGCTTGAGGGCCTGGTCCTCTGTACGCCGTATCAGACAACAGCAGTTGAGGAAGAACTGTCATTTCTACCGGGTAGCTAAGACCTTCCCAAGGGACTCTTAGACACAAGTGGCTCTCACTTCTTTTTCTTCCACAGCTACCTCCCTGTGTCCCTGCTGAAGCTCTAACTAAGGGCTGGAAAGACCAACATATTGATGCAATGAGGCAATTCTTAGGTGGTTTGATTCTTTTGGTAATGATGAGAATGGCTAAAAATACAATTGCTTACTATGAGGACTGAGTTACATGGTTTACGCACATGATTGCACTTAATATTCTCAATGGGTTTGCGAGGCAGTTATTAAATGCATTATTTATGTACCTGTACCTTTTGTACTTGGTGTTTCCAACAGCCTTGGAAAGTAGATATGATGAGCATTCCAATATACAGGTAGAAAAACCAAGGCTTAAATAATTAAGGTACCTTACCTAAGATCTCAGAGCTCCCAAGTGGCATAGCTAGTATTCCAGACTGAGCCTTTCAGACTTTGAGCTCACCCTACACAACTCTGCCTTCTGGAGGGTTTATGGAGTGCTGGGCCTCACTGTGAGTGTTTAATACATTAAAGCTTATTTCAGCTTACAACCACCCTATGGGGTAGATACTTTTATCATCCTCATTTTACAGAAGAGGAAACTGAGGTTCAGAGAGGTGCCAAAACTTGCCCAAGGCCATCCAACTAGTATGAGGGAGAGCTGGCATTCAAACCCAGGTGGTCTGGGCTCCTTTTCCACCTCTCATCAAGTGCACTGATGCATGGAAATAATGCAAGTAGTATCTGCCTCACAGGGCTATTGTGTCTGTGCTTGTAAGCATCTTATACAACAGGCATCTACAAAAGCCACTTGCCTTTTCCTATGGACACACTGCATTATTTTTCTAGTAGTTTTATTTTTCTAAAACAAGCTTTTTAAAACTATGATCACAAGAAGCTGAAATAGGACAGAAGAAAATAAAGGGAGATATATAGTAACGTCCCAGATTTTTCCTTCTTTATCATGAAGTCTTTCAGATGCACAAAATCATCTCAGATTTCTTTGGGTGGTGAGCTGGAATTCTAAAGGCATGCCAGACTTTCCAGAATACTCGCTTACCTTAGATTTCCATTGTGACCACTTCCCTTTCTCTTTACTTTCCTCCTCATCTCTGCCTTCAGGCAGATGAGGAGAGGAGAGGATGGACCACATTTAGTATTGGCAGGGAAACTTTTCAACTCCCCTGTTGCCTTCTCCCACACCTTGATGATCCAGTTCCAACTGGTGTGTAGTGGCAGAAAATAGAACTAAGAATACACCAATGTCCATGCAATTGAATTCATGCCGCTTCATGAAAGAATAGCATAAATCTATTTTATAAAAGTATTCCCAGTATAGGTTTAGGTGGAAAAAAATCAAGCTGCAGAATATTATGGTATGATATCATCATATATATATATGTATGTGTGTGTGTGAGATGTCAAAATATATATGTGTATATATACACACACATATATATAATGACTGGGTATATACTATTCATAATGGTAATAATATAGATTATAATGATGATAACAAAACACCTATGCCACAAGTAAAAAAAAAAAGCAAGAATCTATAGTCCCAAGCTTTTTAAGTTTTTGTAATCATTGTTAGTAGGTAAGCTCTCTGCATCTTAGCTGCTGTATGCACCAAGTACATTTTTACTTTTTTATTTGTGGCTTTCCTTCCACTGCTTATATGCCAGCTAGAGAACATGGACCTTGTATTGCAGGCCTTCTGGAATCACTGTGTTTCCAAGGATTAGAATGTAGTGGTTCAAATTAAACATTGCGTTACACGCAGTTCCCTTGCCAAGGCATTTCCTACCAAACACCAACATTTATTTCATTACTTTTTAGGACCATTTTTGGAAGGAAGTACTGACAAATCAGAAAATGATGTACCTCCCAAAGATGTATGGGTCAGTGCTTCTCTCACTGCCCTCAGCTCCTACGGAGAAGGCCGTGGAGACGAAGGCTTTTGGAAACAAGTCTACCAAACGCTGAGGAGGCCGCCTTTCCGCAGCACCATCTCCTCGGAGGAGCAGGTCTGATGCCGGGTCTTCCAGCTCAGGCTCCCTCCTCCCCTTCTTTGATGACATTTGTGTTTGGCTTTTGCATTTCTCCCTCTTATTTCTCCTCATCTCTCCCCACCTCCCTTACACACATGCAGGTGCACACACACATGCACTTCCCCATCTTCCACGCCCAAAATAAACAGCAGTTTGATGCTCTCCTGTGAATTTATACTTCAGAGGTTACTGGGTGAAACGCCTTTGGAGCAGAGGCCTATGCCCCCATCCTACTGCTGCTATTTGCTAACTGTTGGACCTTGTAGCGAATTGCTTAACCTCCCTACACCTTGGTCTCTTCATCTGTGAAACGGGATTGATGATGGCATCTACCTCCCAGGCTGTGGTGTTGTGTATTTAGTAACATTGTCCATGGAACTAGCAAAGCAGGTATCTTCCTCTTTTGAGGGAAGGTCTTGCTGTGTCACCCAGGCTAGAGTGCAGTGGTGCAATCATGCTCACTACATCCTCGACTTCCTGGGCTCCAGCAATCCTCCCACTTCAGCCTCTCAAGTAGCTGGAAATACAGACACATGCTATCACGCCTTGATAATTTAAAAAAAATTTTTTTTTGTACAGATGTGATTTCTCTATGTTGCCGAGGCAGTTCTTGAACTCCTGGGCTCAAGCAATCCTTCCACCCTGGCCTCCCAAAGTGCTAGAATTACAGGCGTGAGCCACTACAGGCGTGGCTATTAATGGCTACTCAGACCATGACAATTTCCTTCCCCAGGAGGATGCCAGGACCTAGACCCAGGATGGAGTGGTCAGAGATGTGGAGCTAGGACAGGTCAGGGCCAGCAGATGGGCTGGAACAGGGAGAAGATGGTCAGGAGGGAGAGGGTCCGCCTGTGGTAATCCCAGTATGTGTGTGATGAGAAGGCACAGTGTCTGGCTCCCACAGAGAATTTTTTGAAGACAGACCTTTGTACAGAGCTAGAGCTACTTCCAGTATGGGCCCAAGCTGAAGCCCTAAGGTGACCACAGGCCACTGATGACAAGGAGTTTGATTCGAAATGAGGGGGCCGATCGTGGATCCCAACATATAAGACAAGATAACCAATTAAAGAATATTTGAGGAACAATCTACTAAGTGTCAGCGTTGTACCTGGTACCGTTGGGAGAACAGTGTCTGGCACTTAGTAGGCACTTGTATTGTATTTTCCTTGACTGATCAATAGAAGACATCATGTCCTGAAGACCTACTAAGGGTCAGGGACTGCAATGGATAGTTTACCTATTATGCCTCATTTAACTATTGTCACATTCAACCCAACAGCGGTTTTATCCTTTTTTTTTTTTTTTTTTGAGATAAAGTCTCGCTCTGTCACCTAGGCTGGAGTGCAGTGGTGCAATCTTGGCTCACAGCAACCTCCACCTCCTGGGTTCAAGTGATTCTCCTGCCTCAGCCTCCTGAGTAGCTGGGATTACAGGCACCCGCCACCATGCCCGGCTAATTTTTGTATTTTTAGTAAAGATGGGGTTTCACTATGTCAGGAGTTTCGCTGGTCTCAAACTCCTGACCTCGTGATCCGCCCGCTTTGGCCTCCCAAAGTGCTGGGATTACAGGCGTGAGCCACCGCACCTGGCCTATCCCCATTTTATAAAGCAGTGAGCTGAGATTCAGAGAGGTTATGGAACTTACCCATAGCCAGTAGGGAGCTGAGCTGGTCTAGTTCCAACATGTACCCTCTTCCCCTGAAACCATGCTCCCTCCCACCTGAGGCCTGAAGAGCGTCCCTGAAGGATCAGGAGATCTGATTGGGGAACGCGGCATTCAGAAGGAAAATGAAGAAGACCGCGACGTCTGGGTTTCACAGCGCAGGCGCACGCGCAGGCGCAGGCGTGTGCTGGGCCCTCTGCTGTGTGGAATGGGGGAAGAAATTGCTGTGTGCCACTGTCAGGCGGACGAAGAGAGATTCCTCCTAACACCGCTGGACGGTGACTCAAGAGGCCATGAACCTCTTGAGACCCTGCTTTGCTTGTCTTATTGAAGGTGAGCCTTTACTCTGCCTACCTTCACGACGCCGTCCTGCTCTATGCTGAGGCCGTGAAGCAGATGGTAAAGGCTGGAGGCGACTTCCAGGACGGGCGGCAGCTGGTCAGTGCTCTGAAGAGTTCCAGTCTGACCACGGTGCAGGGTAGCTGGCTTACTGCTGGGGGGTGTTCTAAACTCAGACCTGCGGCTCCGGTCGGTGGGGGCTTTGAGATCTTGGGCATGTAATTAAAGGCGTCTTTCAGGGCCTGCCTCGCACTGAACTCCAGAATTCATCTTTCTTGTGGGGATTCCAGTCTTCCTTCTGTAAGGGTAGTTGAGATTAAGACCTCCCAGTTCCCCCAGTTCACTCATCCTTCCAGCCGGAGCCTGCCCAGACCAGGAGAGGAGGCCGCTGGGCACCTTATCCCCTTTTGGGAATTCTCCCCCTCAGTTGCATTGAAACTGAGTCCATCAAGAATATAATTCAGAAATGTGAGAGCCGTCTCCCGGGGTCACTTCCCATCTGCAGCCTCTGTGATGGGGGCCTTGGCGCCACAGACTTCTAAAGATGGGTTGTAGTCTCATTCTTGCTTTCCTGGTGGGGATGAGTTCACTCCCCAGCAGGGGAGTGAACTTTCAAATCACACTCAGCTGACCAACTGCTTTGATCTTTCTTGTTCTAGTTTTGTCACCTGTAAGATAGGGATAACACCTGCTACCACATACAGAAACAATAATAACTGACATTTAGGGAGGGCTTACCTTACACTAGCCCAAGTGCTAAGAGCTTCTGAGTATTACCTAATTGAATTCTCACACAGCCCATGAGGCAGGTACTGTTTCTATCTGTATTATTCAGGTGAGTAAACCGAGGTTACAGAGGTTATGTACTTTGTCTAAGGTCACAAAGTTATTAGATGGTGGAGCCAGGATTCAAAAATCAAGCCTGCCTTCTCCAGGGCTCATGTTCTTTGCTATCCTGTAACATAGGCATAATGAGAATATGACATGCACCTGGCACAGAGTAGGTGCTCATTAAATAGTAGGTTCTGTTTTTTTCTTTTTGAGACGGGGTCTTGCTCTGTCACCCAGGTTGGTCTTAAACTCTTGGGCTTACGGGATCCTCCCACCTCAGTGTCTCAAAGTGCTGGGATCATAGGCGTGAGCCGCTGTGCCCGGCCAAATGGTCCCTATTTTTATACTTTCTATTTTATATTTTTCTATTTCATAGAAGCAGGTCTCGTTTACCCTATTGATACCTTTTGCAAGTGGAAATATTCACCAACTTCTCTCTCTTCTTTCCTTTCAGACCCTAAAGCATTTGCTTAAAAAAGGGAGAGGTCACAAGGGGGGGGTCCTTCTTTCTGCTCTCAATTTAATCCTCTCTGCCAGATCAATTAATTCCGCTTTCCTGTGGTTTTAGGAATTCTTCATGCTGGGATGAGGGGAGGGTGTGAAGAGCAGTGAGGCCCTTTGAGAGCCTGAGTCATCCTACTTTGGTTCTGGGGCCCGTGGACCCCTTTCAGGGACTCATGACCAAAGGGCCCTCCTCACCCCTCCAAACTGGCTTCTGTTCCTTTATGGGCTATAGGACTAGCCTTGGCAGAACTGGAGTATTTGTCTCTGTTTCCTCTGTTCATTTCTGCCACATGGTAGCATCCTTTCCATGGGCCAGTGCCGCAGGGCTTTTGGACCATTCCAGAAGGAAGGCCTCCTCTAGGAGACCGAATTAGGGAGCAGAACCCCCAAACCCCACTGGCTTTGGCTCCATGAACGCAATGCACACTGAAAGCAGTGGCCCAGGTTGTCGCAGGAGCTCTGGCCTTTCCCGTGCAAACCTCGGGCTCAAGACCCCCATTCAGGATGCCCACGGATATGCACACAGAAAGGCAGTGTGGCATGCTGGAAAGAACACGGCACTTGGGGCCCGATAGGCCTGGGTTTGTGTACCAGCTGTGCCTCTTCCTGGCCCTGGCAGGAAGACTCAAGGAGTTTGTGCCTCCAAGCTTTGCTTGTTGGGAACAGATAGATGATGGTGCCCCCTCTGAAGGGTTAATTAGGATTAGACATAGGAAGTCAACATCACCGGCAGTGCTGGGCGCTTATTAGGTGCTTTATCAGTGGTAATTTTGTGTCCTGTCCCCTGTGAGACAAAATCAGCAATATGTCCTTTGTCAGAGCCTATGTACTAGTTTGGGGTGTGAAGGAGCTGTGCTTCAAGTGAAGCTGTGCTTCCGAGATCTCAAGCTGCTATATAACAAGATTTCTCTACATCAAACACAGGCGAAAGTCCCAGCAACATTGACTTGGCATGTCATCTTTTAAACCTAAAGTGACGTGGTTTAAGTCAAAAGATTGAGGAAGCTATTTCAACGGCAAAAAGATATTGCCTTCCTTGAATGAAATTACCTGAAGGCTGGATTTGAAGAGCCTAGGAGAGTTGGGCAAACTGGACAGAAGTTTGAATTGAGAGACCAGGGCCTGAGTTTTGCAAATAACATGCATTTTTCCGTTGTCCCTGCTGTACATGAGGTAGAGTCAAATAGAATAAATTGAGCTGACGCTGACCTTTATTTTTTTTTTAAAGACTACAAGGAATTTCTTCAATATGGCCTGGACCCCTGGCTCCCTTCCTGAAGACAGACCTGGCTGTGGATTTTATAATGAGCTCTTTGAAACTGAGCCTGCTTTGATGGGTAAGTATGGCTGCTTGGAGAAGGTAGCAGGGAAAGATTTTCTATAGTAGGGTGTCTCTATGGCAGGCAGCACTGTTGACATTTTGGGCCAGATAATTTTTGTGTATGGTGAGCCTGGCATTTCAAGTCACACATTCCTGTACATTATGTTTAGCAGCATCCCTGGCCTCTACCCACAGATACCTGTAGCAGCCCTCTAGTTGTAACAATGAGAAATGTCTCCAGACATGGCCAGATATCCCCTAGGAAGCAAAATGACCTTCCTCTCCTGCGGAGAATTACTGCTCTAAGGGAACCTGGCTCCTGAGATTTGAGTCTCAGGAACTTCACCTCTAGGGAGGTTGAGAGAGTCTGGGCAGGGGAGTGTGCCCCAGTGGTTAGGAGCCCAGCCCTGGAATTAGATGGATCATGCCTGGAGAACCACCCTAAGGAGAACACACAGTAAATGTTCAGTAAACACTGATGGTGGAGTTAGAAGTCATCATTATTATTTCTCTGCAGTGGAACTTTCTATGCAAAGTGGGAGGTGAATGCAGTTCCAATGGGAACTAGGGTGATAGTCGGGGAAAAATTCCTGGAAGAGACAAGTCAGAGTAGACTTCATGTGTCCTAACCCAGACCTTCTGGAGGACAGCCTTTGAGGAGCCTGCTTGGCAGGGCCCAGCTGGGCAGGGATGTACATGCTACTGCTCATAGGCAAGGCCTGGGTAATATGCCTCTACCCTCCAGGCGTGACTGCTGTGGTTCTCACAATGATGATCCTGATTCCTGTCTTGGGGGCTGCCATCATAGGTCTGATTTTAAGGACGCAGAGGGGAAAACTGCAGAGGCAAAACAAAGACATCTGGTGGCAAATCAATTTTGACGATATCATCATTCTTCCCCAGAACAAGGTGAGGCCACATATGACCCAGATGTCCCCTTTCCTGGTCACTGCTGGAGATTTGTGGAAGGTGCTTCATCTAGGAGCTTATAAGAGCAAGAGGCTAATTTTTAAAGTGAATACTTCATGAAGAGTCTCCAGGCCTGAGTTCTGGTTCTAGGCCTCCCACTTGCTTGCTGAATCTGAGAATGTCATTTTACCTCCCCAAGACTCAGTTTCTAAATACTTACAAATGACTGACAGTCTCAAAGTTCCATTTGCTCTGTTACTCTGTGGTTGAGAACTGTAGATGCTGTTCAGATATTAAAGCTGTCTCCTGGGGAGGATTTAGTTATTTTATTTTTTGTTTTTGTTTTTGTTTTTTGAGATGGAGTTTCACTCTTGTTGCCCAGGCTGGAGTGCAACAGCACAATCTCGGCTCTCACTCCAACCTCTGCCTCCCGAGTTCAAGTGATTCTCCTGCCTCAGCCTCCCAAGTAGCTGGTATTACAAAGTGCCTCTAACCACGCCCGGCTAAGTTTTTGTATTTTTTTTTTTAGTAGAAATGGGGTTTCACCACGTTGGTCAGGCTGGTCTCGAACTCCTGACCTCAGGTGATCCACCTGCCTCAGCCTCCCAAAGTGCAGGGATTACAGGCATGAACCATCATGCCCGGCTGGATTTAGTTATTTTCAAAACCACATTAACTCCTTTAATCAATTGATGACTAATACAGTAATGTTCATTTGTTTGACAAGGACTTGACCATTAACTACAAGCCAAGCATCATACAAGGCATGGGGATATCCCACAAATGAGATGCCTCCAGAGGGAGGCAAGTGTCAGAGAGGTGTTTCCACGGTGAGACGGAAGCCCTGCAGATAGAGGGACTTAAGGTCTCAGCATCTGGAAGACTTTGGAGAGGAGGGGACATTTGAAAAGAGTGAGTTTGCAAGTGGTGAAAAAAAGTGAAGTCACACGGGATATAACGAGATGTGTGATGCTCAGGGCTGGGAAGCTTGGCTGGTACCAAGTCAGGGAGGCTTCAACATGCTAAGAGCAGGTGACTGCGATTTATTAGTAACTCATCTCCAAACATCCCCGGGGATTCAGACACTTACTCTTTCCTGTTCCACCAAAGCAGCTCTGCTTTGATCTACCTCATTTCTACATGAGGGTTCCAGATAAGATTCTCCTTGAAAACAAGATTCCTATGCTTTGAAGATGTTTTCTAGGTGTTGGGAGGCACTGAGGGTATTAAACAGAGACAACCTGGTTAGATGTTCTTTAAGAAAATGACACTAACCCCAGGCCACACATCTAATTAAGTGCCACAGCCAGAACTTAAGTCTGGGCAGTCTGACCTCAGAGCCTTCCCTCTGAACCTACACCTCCATGGTGGTACAGACGCCATAGAGGGCATGGAGGATGGGATGGTGCTGTCTTAGAGTGATGCACGTAGCAGGTCGGAAAGATCAGGATTCAAATCCTGACTCTCTGTTAACTGTCTGACCTTGGCACTCAGCTTCCTCCTCTATAAAATGCATTCCCTTTAGTACTTGACCTTGCTACTGAGAGTGACCAAATCATTTCCTGTTTTACAGCCACCCTAGAGAGGCATACCTGTGTCAAGAGGCATCACCAGTAACTCATCTAGTGTGGTGATTTCTGTGGACCTCAGCTCTTTTGTCAAGAGCCAGCAGGGGGAAGAGCTCTTCTATGCCCCAATAGGGCTTTATCAGGTATTTCTGAGGCCAGGTGGTTGCCTATAGATCTTAGTGTATCTCTGTCCTGTTCTCTGCATCATTTCTGCCAGGCGGGGCATTCTGAATAGGAGAACGTTCTCCAAGCAAAAGCCAAGGTGGTCTTGTGACTCCAGACTAGTGCTTCCTAAACTTTAATGTGCAGAAGGATCACCTGGGGCTCTTATTAAAATGCAGATTCTGGGTCCATAGGTCTGATGTGGTGCCTGAGAGTCTGCATTTTAAAGAATCTTCTAGGTGATTCCCAAGCTGGCTTCTAGATTAGACTTAGCTTTGTCCAATACAACCTCCTGTGATGATGGAAATGTCGCAGATCTGCACTGTCCAATAAGATGGCCACTAGCCTCCTGTGATTACTGAACCTTAGTGTGTTTGGGCAACTGAATTTTAAATTTTATTTAATGTTAATTAATTTAAATTTAAATAGCCCCATGTGGCTAGTGGCTCCGTGAATGGACAGTGCAGTCCTAGAGTGTGGATTATTTCATCCTTGCTACTTTGGCATGGATGAATCAGTCGTGGGGCCTGGTGCTTCTGTGGTATAGACAGTGACTGCTGCTGCAGCCTAGAACATAATTCCCGCTTGTCCTTTCTCACCTTCCCTCCTACACCCAGACCATGATTGCTGCCTGTACCTAGCAATCCTTCCAAAATTCGAGTCCCTTTGGGGGAAGAGTTTGTATGAAATTGTATTTATTCTTTAAAATGGGGGTCCCAGAGAGTAAGGACAGAAAGCTCCGAGCAAGGGAAGAATTGTTCATTGCTCTAAATTGGGGTTAGAAAAGGCTAGAGCCAAATTATCCCCTATGCAATGAAACTTGATTTTTTAAATGTTTGCTTACTTGAGTTCTCAAACTACAAAAACCTCCTGGGATATTACCAAATACCTTAGGGACCACCATCAATGCAAAACTCTATGTAGTGGTCACCCGGCCACATAAAGAAGGAAGTAGCAACACATAGCATATCACTGTCTGATTGATCTTCCGAAAATATGTCTCGTCTTTCCTCTGTCAAACACCATCACTGGATTCCCCACCTCTGTTGCCTGCATGATAGTGCCCAAACTCTTTAAAAAAGGACTCAAGCCTCTTAACTCACTAGTCCCTACCTATTTTTCTAATCTTTTTTCCCCTGGCTTAAATCCTGTGCTCACCCAGTTGGTCTTGCCAATTTTGCCATGTATGTTTCACCTTCTGACGATGCCACTCCCCTTCCACCCAACCCATGTGGAACCTTCTTATCCTTCAAGGTTCAGCCTAAGCATCACCCCTCCAAGAATCCTTTTCTTCATCCCCCGGGCATTCCTTCCTCCGTGGCCCTCCCATCACAGTCCTGAGTCCTTTGCCATTGCCCTCATACGAAATGTGAAAGATATTTGGTTGATATTTATCTTCTCTTATGGCTTACCTTCTCTTGGGTCCAGATTCTATGCCTTCTTCTATCTAGCTCTTACCACATTACAATATGTTTTTGTGATGCCTGATTAAGTGACTCTCTAAAAGCAGACTCCATAGGCAATACAAATAAAATATGCCATTTACTGAAAATTTAATCTGTGCCAGGCCTTGAGTTACCAGTGGTATTTTAACTGATTTAATGCTCAGAAAACCTTATGAGATGGGTGTGTGTGTGTTTTTTTTTAAACTTATTTTAGATTTGGTGTTATTTTCAATCCCATTTTATAGATGAGAAAATAAAGGCTCAGAGAAGTTAAGAACAACTCAACTTGTTCAGGTAGTAAGTGGTAGCACTGGGCTTAGAATCAGGCAACTGACTCCAAACCTACACTTATCACTGTAACTCACTGTTTCCTCTGAATGATAATGGGATATTATTATATAATAGAAAGCACATAGTCTTGGAGTCAGACTTTCAAGTTCTGGCTGTAATACCTACAAATATGCAACTTGGGCAAGTTTCGTAACCTCAACAATCCCATCTGGAAATGGGCCAATCATACCTACCTCGCAGGGCTGTGATGCCAGTTAAAGGAGATCTTACGTGTTAAGCAGCTAGCTCAGTGCCTGGCTGTGCACAGGGTCACCAAAGGGGTTTTTTTGGGCAGTGAGGAGCTTGATGATTGGCTCCTAGATGCATTTCTTTCCAGTTTTCTTGCTCCTCTCCCTGGCCCTAAGTGGAGCTTTTTCTGGTTCATCCTGAGTTAAGAACATTCCACTTTTTCTCTGATTCTAGGGAAACCACGTGGCCATCCGCTATGGTGGTCACCAAGCAGAAGCCTGGGTTAGGAAGCTGACTGTGTTACAGGAAATACAGCTGGTGAGGCCCCCTGCCCAGGGTCAGTGGAGAGACAAAGCAGTGATGCTCTCTGCCCCTCCTCTGCCAGCTCCCTGGTCCCAAAGGAGCAGAGATGGGAGGCTGCTTCCCTTAACGTGACCTACCTCTCCCTCCCCTCGACAGCCCAGGCTTTGAATCTCAGACCCCTGGCCTCTCCCAGGCACCTGAAGCCTGGGATCACTCCTACCTCTGTTTCTTCCCCATCATTCTTCCTGGCCTTGATTCTGGCCCTTCATCCTCTGTGTCTGTGATGGCTGCTTGCCTGCCTGCCAGCCTTGAACCTGGTCCTTGGAGTGAGTCAGGTTCATGGGCCTGACTTCCTGCTCCTCTGTGATCTGCTGTGGGCCCCACACTGGCATTGACAGCCATAAGCGTGGAAGCAGGGCTGAGTCCAGCTACTGTGACGTGGTTGAGTTAATCCCCATGGCTGAGGTTAGACTTTGATCATTCCTCTGATTTATTTGCTGGAGACAGACTTCCTGGGTTTACCTCCCAGCTCTGCCACTTATAGCCGTTCCTTTACTTTACCTTTCAGTGCCAGTTCCCTCATCTGTAAAATGGGATCTGTAACAGTTCTTATCTAACAAGGTCTTTATAAGAATTGACTGAAAATATGCAAAGCACACAGCATGGTCCTGGACATAGAGACACACTCTATACATGAGCTATTGTAACCATGATTATTTCTAGATGGGTGAGTTAAGGCACGAGAACATTGTCCCCTTCTTTGGTATTTGCACCGAACCACCTAACATTCTGCATTGTCACTCAGTATTGCAAAAAGGGAAGCCCTAAGGTAAGGAAAACAGTACAGTGCACCTTAGGTTTGATTAGTGATAGATAATAGAGAAGTTTCTCAGTGACCTCTGCTATTCATCCAAGGCCAGTTCCTCTCTGGTCTAATTGCAAGACCTGAATTATCTTGTCAGGCTACTTTCTGGTAATCAGAATAATCTGGTAATCTGGCTAATCAAATTAGCCAAGTGTCTGCTTCTTTTGTTCTGGGGGGAAACTGAGCTTGGTTTCTTCTCTTAAGATGTTATGACTACTCTTGAACTGTGTTCCTGGGCCCATCCTATTATGGTATGTGACGACAGCTTTCTGTCAGGAACAAGGAAGTGTTTGTAAAACTTGAGACTGCGTGCATTCTTAATATTGAGTCAGGTTATGGTATCTCCTGGGAAGATTTCCAGTTATTAGGTTTAAAGTCTTCTGCCCCACATTGCGTTAGCTCTGGCCAAAAATATAAGCTATGTTACAGTCAAATCTGTTCAATCGTTAAAGCTCACTGTGCTTCATGTTGAGTCACTAGGAATCTTTTGAATAACTGTGTTTTTCAGGATGTTTTGAGAAACTCGGATCATGAAATAGATTGGATATTCAAACTCTCATTTGCATATGACATAGTCAATGTGAGTATAACATAAAGTTACCAAAGAATAAATGTGATAGTATTTTTGAGTTGCTCTGTCTTGAATTTAATTGAACTGTAATTCTTCTTGAAAATGTTGGACCTCTTCAGATCTCCTCTTCAAGGTGATTCCAGCTCTAAAATCTATCATTTCTATCCGATTTTTTCTTTTCTTCTTCCCTGATTGCAAATAAATATAGAGAGAGGAAAGTATTTTACACTAAAGTTGGAATGGATGCCAAGTTTACCCAATCAGAAAAGAGCAGAATATTTACATTGTAGGGTAGAACTTTCTATCTCAAAGAGCATCTCATCACTAGATTATAAATCGGACTGGGGGAGGTGATTCCTGATATTCTTCCCTGCTCTCTAGCCCCTGATTTCTTTCCCTAGGAAATGGGGATGCCACATTAACCACAAAGCTGCTGACCTAAGAGGTGGGCCAGAGATGCTGATCGGAGGAGGTAGAATCTTTGCTTTGGCCCAGGGGGCTATGGTGACTGCAAAGAAGAAGGGAATAATAGTAACACTAAAATATATAGAGTGCCTACTTTGGGCCAGGCACTTTCCAGTACTTTGTATATATTAATTTATTTAATTCTCACAAAAATATAAGATAGATCTATTGTTACTTCTGTTTTACAGATTAAAGAAACACAAAGCACAGAAAGTACATATGACCTTCCTGAAGTCTCATAGCTATGAAATAGTGGAGTTAGGATTCAAACCCAGCCATTTTCAAGTCCTATACCCTTAACCACTGTACCATACTGCCTCTCAGTAGGAAGCACGAGAGCTTGCTTTTGTGTTTTACCACAGGGAGAAGTCATTCTCACATCTAGAAGCCCATTAGGGGCTGGGGAGGGGTAATTCAGAGGGAGTTGGAGAGAGACCAATTCCTGCCTGTTGCCAGGAAGGCAGTGGAAATGCTGAGAGGTGGCAGCTGGATCCAAAGCCCAAGGTGCCACTGTCTTGAAGGGCCATGCCCTAGGTATGCAGCTGGTGATGAGGGATGGAGAGGGCAGGAGTGGGAGGAGATTTGCTGTGGGACAAGCCATGTCAGTATGGACCAGCATCCTGAGGCTGCTCTCTCCTACCTGCACTAAATCCAGCTGTTCTTTCTTAAGCTTGCTGCCTGTACTTTTACCACCAGAAGGACAAAGCCAGTGACCTGGGAGTCAGTCTGGTGAGGAAACCTCTCAGTCATGGGCAGCACGGTGAAGGATGGTGGTCCACTGCTAGTCAATAGTCCAATCATCAATCCACCAACAGACTCCTGTGGGGAAGACTCACCTGTGTGTTGAGAGGGCAAAAAGAATGAAACACAGGCTGTGCCCTCCTGGATTAATGGGCCACCCACTTATTGAGTGATTTTGCCAGTACACTTCCCCTCTCTAGACCTCGACCTCCACGTAGGTAGAATGAATGAGCTTGGCCCAATTGAAGTCTAAAGGCTTTCCTTCAACAAGGATTTTATTGCTTTTTGTTTCTAGGGAGCTGAGTCCTGTAGCTCTGTGAGACTTTGACCTCCTAGGCTTTAGCAGGAAGCCAGCAGATTGTTGTCAAGCAAGGTCGATAAACAGAAGCGTCTCTGTGATTGGGTCTTCACTGGCAACCCTGGACCACCACTGTTATTATTTCATTAAAATTTTATTGAGCATCTGTTAAGAGTTTATCCTACTCTGGTCACTTTTGTAGGAAGAAAGGACTTGTTTCCAGCTTTGAATGGCTTAAAATCTAGGGGAAAATAAAACAGTCTGGAGATGTACATATAAAATTCTTTAAGTGGCAGTGGTTGTAAACTGGGAGGATGTGACGTGGCATCTTTTCCTACCCTGGAATATTCTCTCCTTCCCTTCACCCACTTTTCCTTTCTTTTCCCACCAAGCATAGAGAAGGACTCCAATTATCTGCCTCCTGCCCCCATCAAAATAGCTGACATCATTTATTTTAGAAGTGAAGAGTAAGCTAGTAAGTTCTCACCAAGCCATGAATGACTAACAGATTTGACCTCTTTAGTGTAGGCATCAGATTTCAAGAAGCATTAACCCAAAGGTTTCTCTGAAAAAACGCTATGGCAGGTGGGCATGGCACTTTGAAGGGGAAGAGCTCCCTGGTGGTCATCACCTACTCTAGCTCACTGAGTCTACCCTCTACTCTGTTCCAGGAAAACAGAGGACAGCTTGGCATTTTGCTTTGGCAGGATCATTACCTCCTGAGATGGAGTGTTCACATTCTGGGATCATGTAGGGTCACTACTGATGACACAATAGGCTAGGTCAAGGCATAGGTAGGACCTTTGAGGTTAATTACTCTGCCAATGTTCTTTGAAAGGGGATTGCAAGTAACAGAAAATGTAATGTTCTCTTAGAGCCTTCCCATGAGTCTGGGCATTGGGCCAAGCTCCATGAAGGCGATTGTACTTTGGAAACAAGTCTCTCGATGTCTATTTGATCAGCACCTCCTCTATATCAGGTATCAGAGGGACTCCAAGATGCCATAGACATTTCAAGACAACAAACATATATTGATTGAGTGCCTAATTTGGATCAGACCCGATTCTGGGCGTAGGAGGCACAGATGAATGAACCTCATTGTCCTGTCCCCAAAAAGTTCAACCCAGTTGGGCAAGCCTGGGAAGGAGTTTGGAGAGTATAATACTCTCCTTGAGTTACAAATAGGGCTTCGTGTCTAAGTAAGAGAAGTCTCGATGGATTAAGAGGATGAAGGATAGTTCAGTATAGAAGTTGTCTTTGGAGTTTGAACCCTGACTGCCACTTACTGGCCAGGTGACCTTAACAACCCTGGGCCTCATATATCCTCTGTGTAAAGATAACATCAGTACCTGACTCATAGGGTTGCATGAGGCCTAATGTATGCAAAATGCTTAGTGCCATGCCCTGCCTGTAAAAGGCGTCCAGTAAATGTTGATTGTTAGTAGTAGCAGTAGTATTATCACAATCATAGATAATTCTATTACTGGTATTAAAAGAAGTACATTTTCTTGTTTTAATTTCCCCAACACTCTTATGGGGTAAATCTGCACTGTCCAAATATGATAGCCACCAGCCACATGTGGATAATGAGCACTGCAATTGTAGCTAGTTCAATTTGAGATGTGCTATAAAGTTTATACTGGATTTTGTAGACTTAGCAAGAATAATAAAATATAAAATATCTTGCTAATATATTTATGTTGGTTACTTGCTGAAATAAGATTTTTCAATGCATTGGGTTAAATAAAACATTATAAAATACACTTCACCTGTTTGGTTTATAACACGGCTGCTGAAAATGTAAAAATACACATGTGGCTTGTATTATGTTTCTATTGGACAGTGATCTCAATAATTAACAGTGAACTCCATTATTAATTCATTTTTAGCTCCAATCATAGTAATATTGGAGTAACATGATCTCCATTTCCAAGAGGGAAAAAGTGACGCTTAATGAGGTGAAGTCACCTGCCCAGCTGGTAAGACACAGATTGGGATTTGTAGCCAGTCCGTCTCCAAAGGCTGTGTTTGCTCTTCTATGTGATGCTTCCTCCCTGCTAAGTACCAGAGAGTACAGATATGGGGCCCAGAGGTAGGAGCCCTGTCTGCCACCCAGGAATTTCCAGTAGGGCAAGAAATGTACCTAACAGACAGATGATTGAACTGATACTGGCGGGCTAGGGGAGGTCCCCAAATGCTGATGGGCCCTCGACCCCAGCCAGTGTGAAAGCTCTTAACACCATTGTGAGAAGGAATTCAAGGATAAATCAGAAAATAGTGAAAGTATGGAGATTTACTGCAAAGTGAAAAGTACACACTCAGGAAAGGGGAGTGTGGGTGGACTCGAGAGAGAAAGAGTTGCGCAATGGGATTTGAGGCTTCTACCTTCTTGAGTTTCTTTAACCAAGGGGTAGAATATCCATGAGGATTCCTGGAAAAAGGTGGAGATTTCTGGGAACTGCGGTGCTACCCATTTTTACATCAAATATGGCTATTCCTGGAACTGTTGTGGCACCGGTGGGTGTGTGACCTAGTATGTTAATGAGCTTATAATAAGGTCCCAGGTGAAACTTAGGCCAAATCCAGCACCATGTTGGGTCCAGTTGGTCTTAGCCTGCTTGGCCCACACCCTGTTCTTTTCAGGGTCTTATCAGGCCTGAAAATAATAGCTTATGCAACTATTTCAATTCCTTTTTGCTAGCCATGTGTAACAGACCTGGAATTTTCTGTTCTCCTGCAGTCACCCTGTGTTATTCCTGTCTCAGAGCTGCCAAAAGTGTATAAAATCTGACATGTAAATAATGAATCCTTTCGTAGCTCTATCTGCTCTATGACAATATACATAAAAATCATACATTTCCATCAAGATAGAAAATAAAGACATGCGTCCCATCTCTTGGAGAGGAATGCACACCCAGGATTCCAAGCATCCCTCAGCATGTCGTTTTCACCCTAATGGAAGGAGTTCTGCTAAAATCCTAGAATGTAAAATCGTTGACTGTAAAATATCTCATACTTGAGGTAGGCCTGGGAACTAGCAAGGGCAGGAGGAAAGCAGAAAAAACCTTGTGTGTATCAGGGACAGTTCTGTTGAATGGAGAGGTCTCCTGCTGGAATCAGAGCGAACTCTGGATTAGACACAGGTCTCACCCGACTTCAAGCTTGGACCTTAGCCTATTGGAGCCTCCCTGGGGAAGTCTCAGAGGCAATCCCAGCCAGGCCCCTCCAGGTCCAGTTGAGTGGGCGGCAATTTCAAAATGTGATTCAACGTTACCATCTAAAAATAAATAAGGCACTTTGATAAAGGAACATGGGATAGGGGGTGGAGAGTGATTGGGGCAGGGCTGGGGGCATGTATCCATTCTTCTGGATGTTTTCTGTATTATCCCATATTTCTTTTTTGTTATTTGTTTTTTGAGACAGAGCCTCACTTTATTGCTCAGGCTGGAGTGCAGTGGCGGGAACTAGGCTCACTGCAACATCTGCCTTCCAGGTTCAAGCGATTCTCATGACTCAGCCTCCAGAGCAGCTGGGATTACAGACACCCACCACCATGTCCAGCTAATTTTTATATTTTTAGTAGAGACGGGTTTTCACCATGTTGGCCAGGCTGGTCCTGAACTCCTGACCTCGAGTGATCCACCTGCCTCGGCCTCCCAGAATGCTGGGATTACAGGCATGAGCCACTACGCCCAGCCAACTTGAGGCTTTTTTTTTTTTTTTTTTTTTGAGACGGAGTCTCACTCTGTAGCCCAGGCTGGAGTGCAATGGCACAATCTCAGGTCACTGCAACCTCTGCCTCCTGGGTTCAAGCAATTCTCCTCCTTCAGCCTCCTGAGTAGCTGGGATTACAGATGTGTGCCACCATGCCAGGCTAATTTTTGTATTTTTAGTAAAGACAGGGTTTCACCATGTTGGTCAGGCTGGTCTCGAACTCCTGACCTCATGATCCGCCCACCTTAGCCTCCCAGAGTGCTGGGATTACAGGCATAAGCCACCATGCCCAGCCCCTATCCCATATTTCTAATGCAATATTGGCCTCAGGGCTCTGGCTCAGGTGGGATAGTGACTTGGCCTGTCAAGCACTGCTGGAGGAAGAGGTGCCCCCCTGTTCTGGTGAAGCTGGTTGTTGTCTGGGGTAAATATCTGAGGTTCGTAGTATCACGCCAAGGAAATCGAGTACTCGGACACACCAGAAGTGGGTTTAGGAGCACAGGTTTAATAGGCAAAAGAAAGAGAAAGGAGAATAGCTCTTCTATGCGAGAGAGGGGGTCCACAGCGAAGTGCACCAGATTTTATAGACTGGCTTGAGGAGGCGGTGTCTGCTTTACATAGGGCCGAAAGATTGGTTGGACCAGGCGTGACGTTTAAGTAGCCAGCAATGAAGCTGGCTGCCCTACCTTAATCTTCTATTATGCAAATGAAGTATTTGCCCACCTGGCGCCATGTTGCCTGCTCCTTACTGTACACGTGGTTTACAAGGAAAAGGGACAACGGAGCCCCTATCTGAACATGACTACTCCCTAGGTAGCCCCTTTCCTGTTAGCACAGCTGCAGGCATTCACCCATGCAAGCTTCTAGCCTGGCTTTCTATGTCTGCAGCTCGATTCTACAGGCTGCTTTTTGTTAGAAAAGAAAATGATTGGCCGGGCGCGGTGGCTCAAGCCTGTAATCCCAGCACTTTGGGAGGCCGAGACGGGCGGATCACGAGGTCAGGAGATCGAGACCATCCTGGCTAATACGGTGAAACCCCGTCTCTACTAAAAATACAAAAAACTAGCCGGGCGAGGTGGCGGGCGCCTGTGGTCCCAGCTACTCGGGAGGCTGAGGCAGGAGAATGGCGGGAACCCGGGAGGCGGAGCTTGCAGTGAGCTGAGGTCCGGCCACTGCACTCCAGACCGGCGACAGAGCGAGACTCCGTCTCAAAAAAAAAAAAAAAAAAAAAAAAAAGAAAATGATTTGGGGCCTGTCACGTGTGTCCATATAGAAGACCACCTAAATACGCTTTGTGTGAGCAACAATGCTGTTTATTCACTTGGGTGCAAGTGGGCTGAGTCCGAAAAGAGAGTCAGTGAGGGGAGATAGGAGAGGAGCAGCTTTATGGAAAGTTACAGTTGGAGGTGGTTATCTATTGTTAGCAGGGGAGGGGGTCACAAGGTGTATGGTGGGGAGATCATAAGACTCATTGTCCAGAAGAAGAAAGTCACAGGGTCGATTGATCAGCTGGGGCAGGGTATGAACAAGTCATAATGGTAGAATGTCGTAAGATGGGTCAATTAGTTAAGGCAGGAACTGGCTGTTTCACTTCTGTGTGGTTTTTCAACTACTCCAGACTTCTTGGCTCCTGCAGGCCATCTGGACGTATATGTGCAGGTCACAGGGGTTACAATGGCTGAGCCTTGGCTCAGAGGCCTGACAGGGGCTGCTTTTCATTTAAAGAAAAACCTTACCGAGGACTCCCATACACTCACTAAGTGTCTAAATAATTTCTTTATTAACTCTTTTTTTTTTTTTTTTTTTTTTTTTGAGACGGAGTCTCGCTTTGTTGCCCAGGCTGGAGTGCAGTGGCACAATCTTGGCTCATTGCAACCTCTGCCTCCTGAGTTCAAATGATTCTCCTGCCTCAGCCTCCTGAGTAGCTAGGATTACAGGTGCCTGGTGTGTATAAAAATTAGCTACCACGCCTGGCTAATTTTTGTATTTTTAGTAGAGATGGGGTTTCACCATATTGGACAGGCTGGTCTTGAACTTCTGACCTTGTGATCCACCCACCTCGGTCTCCTAAACTGCTGAGATTCCAGGCATGAGACATCATGCCCAGCCTCTTTCTAACTCTTATGTCACTGGTGCCCAAGAGGCCCAAGACCCTGTCCCTGGGTTCACTTCTCTGTTCAGGATGTTCCCCCCTACTCCATTCCTCTCCAGGACCTCCTCATAGCCCCTCCCACACATGACTTCACCGCCCCTTCTCAGCTAGGTTGTGTAATTGTGTAATTACACATTGGGGTTGTGTAGTTGTGCAGGGAGAGTATGTGCTTTGACCCTCCTTCCTCCCTCTTCCCTCCTCCCCCTTTTTCTCTCCCATCACCCAGGGCACAGGGAACAGGAGAATCTAGTGGTTTAGAAGCAAGGCTTCTAACCCAGTCCTACCTGGGTTTGTATCCCAGCTCTGGTCCTGACTTCTTGGGAGCAATTTAACACTCCAAATTTACTCGTCCTAGGCTGATCACTAGGATGTATTTATTTTAAGCTGGCTTGGCCTTCTTGGCTTCACACAAAGGAGCTGGAAATAGTTTTCTCCATTTTGGGTGTCCCAGCCCCAGTTGACTCCAGGGACAAGGGGCTATGCTGGTGGCTCCTGAACAAATGAACACAGAGATGGGCACATCCCCTGCCCAGGCCTCTCTATCTGTGTTTCTGCCCATCTGTCTCTCTGCCTCGGTTCCTTCCAGCAGTGTTATCAGCACCCGGTCTCCCTCATTTTCTCATTTTCACCCTTTCAGGGTATGCTCTTCCTCCATAGGAGCTTCCTGGGTTCCCACGGCAACCTGAAACCTTCCAACTGCCTGGTGAATGGTCGGCTGCAGGTGAAGCTGTCGGGATTCGGACTGTGGGAACTCAAGTATGGCCGGACATACAGAACATATGATGAGACAGTGGTTGATTTTGCACCCACTAGCTATTGGCAGCATGGCCAGAGGTTCCTAGCTCCATCTTTGCTTCCTGGTGCTCATCTGTGCAGGTATCCACACGTGGGCCTTCCTCTGGAGCTGATGATATGTGGTTGTTCTGTTCACCTGAGGAGAACGAGAAAAAAAAATAGTCTCTGCAGGTGGCACCAGTTCGTGGGGTGATGTCTGGGTTTGGAGACTGGTTCTTGTCCTAGCTTAGCTGGGCCACCTGGAGCAACAATTGCCTGTCTCTTTAGTTCTCTTTGTTCCTTCCCACATTCATCCTATGTTCTCAGCTTAGAACATAAGATTTGTCAGACATTTTAGAGATAATCGAGTTCTATAGTTCTGTCTTCTAGATGCCTGGTCCCTCCACCCCTGACCTGAATCAGAATATCTGACCTGAATCAGATATCTGATATCAACTGAATCAGAATATCTGAAGATGGGGTCTTGGCCTCTGAATTGTTTTTTAAATGCTCCCAAGAAATTCTGCTGTGCATCTGAAGACAAAACCACTGCCTCAAGTCCACTTTTCCCTTCCATATGTGCCAAGTGGGGTTCAATGACTCTTCCTACCTGTCTGGTTAATTGAGTGCCCTGGATTGTTACCTCTGCATGTATCCTGGGCTCCCTTGAGACCAGTGTTCTTAGCCCCGATCCCCTTTTTGCTGGAGCAGCATGTCACCAGGAGATTTTTTGTGTCAATTTGGGAGGTTTCTATAACATATGATAGAATGATGTCTTACAGAAAGACAAGGGGGATGGGAGTGGTGGCTTATGCCTGAAATCCCAGCACTTTGGGAGGCTAAGGTAGGAGGATTGCTTCAGTCCAGGAGTTTGATACCAGCCTGGGGAACATAGTGAGACTTCCCTCCAACACCTATACTTAAAAAAAAAATTAGCTGGTGTGGTGACATGTGAGGCTGAGGTAGGAGGATCACTTGAGCCTGGGAGGTCGAGGCTGCAGTGAGCTGTGATTGCACCACTGCACTCCAGCCTTTAGAGACCCTGTCAAAAAAAAAAAAAAAAAAAGGACAAGGGGAGAAATTTTGTTATTATTATTAATTAAGTAATTAATTAATTATGAGACAGAGTCTCACTCTGTTGCCCAGGCTGGAGTACAGTGGTGCGATCTTGACTCATTGCAAACTCTTGTCTCCTGGGTTCAAGCAATTCTCATGCCTCAGCCTCCCGTGTAGCTGGGGATTACAGGCATACACCATCACGCCTGACTAATTTCTGTAATTTTAATGGAGACGGGATTTCATCGTGTTGGCCAGGCCAGTCTTGAATTCCTGACCTCAGGTGATTTGCTCTCCTCGGCGTCCCAAAGTGCTGGGATTATAGGCATGAGCCACCGCGCCCAACTGAGACCTGCTAGCAGCCGTCCTAGTTCACCTTCCACATCCTCTAATATTTATCTTTTCTTTTAATGACTATGACCTATAAGGACATAGCTTTTAGACTTCACTGCAAAAAAAGAAGGTGTGTGAAATATCTAGAATAGACAGATACATCTATAGAGACAGAATGCAAGTTGGTGGTGGTTATCAGGGGTTGAGGGTCGGGAGAACAGGGAGAAACTGCTTCATGAGTAAGGAGTTTACTTTGGAGTGATGGAAATGTTTTGGAGCTAGATAGAGGTGGTGGTGGTTGCATAACATTATGAATGTGCTAAAGGCCACCGAATTGTTCATTTAAAATGGTTATTTTATTTTATTTATTTATTTTTTTGAGATGAAGTCTTGATCTGTTGCCCAGGCTGGAGGGCAGTGGTGCGATCTCGACTCACTGCAACCTTTGCCTCCTGGGTTCTAGTGATTCTCCTGCCTCAGCCCTCCGAGTAGCTGGGAGTACAGATGTGCTCCACCATGCCCGGCTAATTTTTGTATTTTTTATTTTTATTATTTATTTATTAGAGACAGAGTTTTGCTCTTGTTGCCCAGACTGGAGTGCAATGGCATGATCTTGGCTCACCACAACCTCTGCCACCTGGGTTCAAGCGATTCTCCTGCCTCAACCTCCCAAGGTGCTGGGATTACAGGCATGCGCCACCATGCCCGGCTAATTTTGTAATTTTAGGAGAGACAGGGTTTCTCCATGTTGGTCAGACTCGTCTTGAACTCCTGACCTCAGGTGATCCACCTGCCTTGGCCACCCAAAGTGCTGGGATTATAGACATGAGCCACCATGCCCAGGAATTTTTGTATTTTTAATAGATGAGGGGTTTCACCATGTTGCCCAGGCTGGTCTGGAACTCCTGACCTCAATTTATCCTCCCGCCTCAGCCTACCACAGTGCTGGGATTACAGGTGTGAAGTGCACCCAGCCTAAAATGGTTAATTTTATGTTCTATGAATCATACCACAATTGTTTTTAAAAATAAAGGCAATACAGAGAAGGAACATAAACGTGAAAACCAGCTGTAATTTTAGTCTTGAGTAAACCACCATTAACATGTTAGTGCATATCCTTCCTGCTGATTTTCTCCATATTCACACACACGGACCCCTATTTGCTCTTCAAACCAGACACCATTGGGGCTGATGGCTCAGAGCTGGATGCCTTCCTTTCTCCTGTGCCCCCAAGGATGAAGGGGTGGCTTTTCCAGTTTTGCCCAGCAGCACCCTCACTCCATGCGGACATCCCATTGCTTTGCAGAGCTCTACTGGATTGCCCCAGAGCTGCTGCGGCTCCCGGAGGTGCCCTGGTCGGGTACCCCACAAGGAGATGTTTATAGCTTCACCATTCTGATGAGGGAGCTGATCCACCACTGGGACCATGGGCCCTCTGATGACCTCCATGAGGCACCGGATGGTAAAGCGGGAGAGCCTGCTTGGGAGGTTTTGGTTGTGTGGGCTAGCTTTGAAATGTTGGTTTTTAAAATTAATTGTTTTATTAATTTACAACTTATTCCATCATTTTTTATTGAAAAATTCATGTTCTTTCCCTAGCAAGCAGACTCAGAAAAAAAAAAAAGAAAAAGAAAAATCCATATTCTTTTTTAAATTAGAAAACGAATTCCATTTTGGTTACCAAAAAAATCAAGGGACCTCAAATTATATAACTTATTGTATTACAGAAGCCAGAGGGATCCTATTAGAAAATGAGGCAGATTATGTCACTTCTGTATCAGAATCCTCCCCTGGCTTCCTATCTGAGGAGTGAAAACTAAGTTCTCCTCATGGCCTACAAGACCACCGAAGTAACCTCTGTGGCCTTCTGGATTAGTTTCCTAGGGGGGTATAATAGTGACCACAAGCTTGGTGGCTTGAAACACTGATGTTTATTCTCTGGCAGTTCTAGAGGCCAGATGTCTAAAGTCAAAGCGTTGTCAAGGCTCTGCTCCCTCCGGAAGCTCTAGGGAAGGTTCCATTCTCTGCCTCTTCCAGCTGCTGGTGGCTGCCCCAGCATTCCTGGGTTTGTGGCTGCATGGCCTCAACCTCCAGCTCTGTCTTCACATTGTCTCCTCCTCTGTGTACTTATCCTGGCTGTGCCGCTTATGAGGACATTTGTCATTGGATTTGGGTCCCACCCCTGTCATCCAAGATGACCTCCTCAACCTGAGATCCTTAACTTAATTCTATTTGCATAGTTGGTTTATATCCCCTTTCCCAAATAAGGAAACATTTGTAGATTCTGGGGATTCAGATTTGGACATTTCCCTTTAGGAACCACGATTCAGCCCACCGCACCTTCCTACTGTCATCTCTTATGGCTCACTCCTTTCAGTCACGCTGGCCACCTTCGTGCGTCGCCAACATAGACAAATTTATAAAGACAGAATGCAGGTTGGTGGTGGTTACCAGGGGTTGGGGGTCGGGAGAACAGGGAGAAACTGCTTCATGAGCAAGGGGTTTACTTTGGAGTGATGGAAATGTTTCTACCACTCCAGACACATTTCTACCCCAGACCCTTTGTGTGTGCTGTTCCCTCTGCCTGGACACCTCTCACCTCATATTCCTATATACAAATTTGCCCTATTCTTTCTTAAGGTTTACAATATTTTTTATTGTGAGAATATGCCATAAATGGTACCTCGATACACATTTTGGAAATTGCTGCAATGAGCAGCTCTATATCTTTGCACACATGGGTGAATGTTTCTTCAGGCTATATTTCTAGCCATGAAATTGAGGAGATAAATATATTTTAAATATATTTAAAATCCATGATAAATGCTGTTCAGTTGTCCACTTACAAAGGATATTTTTGGGCTTTTTTTTTTTTTTTTCTTTTTGCTGGATTGTCTCTTAACGGCTGATGCCTGGATCTCAGCCCGAGATTCTGATATCATTGGTTTGGGGTGCTGCCTCAGTGTCAGGGTTTCAAAGCTCCTGGCGTGATTGTAATATGTAGCAGCTCAGGCTGCTTGGAGAGAAGATACCAGTGTGTGTGTGCACACACGTGAGTGTGAGTTTCTAAGTAAACTCAACCCACTTTCTCTCTTGATTTTTTTTTTTTTTCTTGCTGTGCCTATCATTTCTAGCCTATCCTCAGTGACCTATCTCAATCCTCGGCTTTAGGTCATTATCTATTACCTGGAGACTTTTTGAGTCAGGAGCCCATTGTGAGGATATGCAATTGCTTTTAGACCAGATTCCAGTTTCTAATTTCCAGTTAAATAAAGCAGAGGTGAGATTAATCCAAAAACAGTAACTCAAAATCCAAGTGCATCTAACTTTGGCATCAAGCACACACGCAAATATTCCCAGACAGCCCAGGCAGGAGCCCACCCACAGTCCCTCAGCCCCATCACCGCCTACTTTTGCCAGTTGGGTTCTGTAAGGGAAGATACTGTGGACAATCAGTGTATTTCCCCTTCATTGTTGAGCTCACAAAATTAACTGAGAGCTGGCTACGTGGGACTATGTATTCACAGGACTGCAACCAGGAAGAGTACAGTGTACACCTAATTTATGGGCAAACACTTCTTCAATTAACTTCTGACGCTTTCCTACAAACAAAGCTTGTCGTGGGAACGGAGTAGCTATTGATTCTCTGGGCACACAAGACCCATGGTTCTCAAACTGTGGCGGGCATCAGAATCACCGGGAGGTGGTTAAAACACAACATTGTTGGGTTCCACTCTTGGGATTTCTGACTCAGGAGGTCTGGGGTGAGGCTTAAGAATGTGCATTTCCATCGCCCTCCCAGGTGATGCTGATAAAGCCACAGCTTGAGAAGCACTGGCCTTGGTCCTTCTGGTCCTTGGACCAGCAGCATCAGCATCAGCTGGAAACGTGTCAGAAATGCACATTTTCAGGCCCCACTCCTGACCTGCTTCATTGGAAAAGCTGGAGGAATTGGTCCAGAAATCTGTGTTTCAGCAAGCTCCCCAGCGATTCTGATGCACATTGCCAAAGCAAATGAGCAACAGTGCTAACATGTCTAGTAGATGGTTAAAGATTATAGGATGGAAACAGCTGGCTAGAAGTTACTAGGTAATTCACACATGTTCTCTGAAGTGCAGACCAATGGGTTCGAATTTGCTCTCGAAGTCCTGTATCGTTTTTCTGATTCTTTCATTTCTTAGAGCTAAACACAGAAAGCAGAAGATGCCATAGTAATTCAGTCACTGCTTTTGAAGCCATTGCTGTCTCATGTCTCAAAATGTACTTCATTTGGGAAGTAAAACACAATTTTCCAGAGTATTTTTTTTTTTGAGATGGAATCTCTCTGTCACCCAGGCTGGAGTGTGATGGCATGATCTTGGCTCACTGCAACCTCCACCTCTGGGTTCAAGTGATTCTCCTGCCTCAGCCTCCTGAGTAGCTAGGACTACAGGCATCCACCACCATGCTTGGCTAATTTTTATATTTTTAGTAGAGATGGGGTTTTGCCATGTTGCTAGGCTGGTCTCGAACTCTTGACCTCAAGTGATCCCCCCTGCCTTGGGTTCCCAAAGTGCTGGGATTACAGGTGTGAACCACCGTGCCTGGCTCCTAGAGTGCTTTTTAATGCACATACTTTCAGAATAGTTTTAGGCATTAAACATGTACACCTAAACAAGACATTTTATGCACAGTTTTGTAACCTGTATTTTTTTTTATTATATTAAACTAATAGCCATATATTATTCAGATTTCCTAGTTCTTGCCTAATGTCCTTTTTCTGTCTCTGAACCCCATCCAGGGTACCACATTACACTTGGTCATCATGTCTCCTTAAGTTTCTCTGGGAAAACTTCTCAGACTTTATTTTCAATGACCTTGACACTTCTGAGGAGTACTGGTCAGATATTTTGTAGAAGTACTTTCATGTGGAATTTGTCTGATTTGTTTTTCTTTTCTCGTGGTTTGGCATTTGTGTGTTTTGAAGGATGACTGCACAGGTAAATTGTCCTTTTCATTGATTATTGCTGTTGATGTTGACCTTGATCACTTGGCTGGGGAAGTGTTTGTCAATTTCTCCACCATAAAGTTACTCTGATTTCTCCCTTCCATACTTAGTCTAGGACTGAGTGAGGAGTTAGGCTGGGTGTGGTGGCTCATGCCTGTAATCCCAACATTGTGGGAGGCCAAGGAGGGAGGATTGCTTGAGTCCAGGAGTTTGAGAGCAACCTGGGCATATAGGGAGACCCAGTCTTTACAAAAATACAAAAATTACCCAAGTGTGGCAGCATCCTAGCAGCTACCCTGGAAGCTGAGGCACGAAGATTGCTTGAGCCTGGGAGGCGGAGTAAAGATCCTGCCACTGCACTCCAGCCTGGGTGACAGAGACCCTATCTCAAAAAAAGAGAGAAAAAAAGAAAAAAAAGGGTGGGGAGTCAGGCTCCACCTCTTTGAGGAAGGAGTATTTGGAATTCTTCTCCGTGGGAGATTTGTCTACTCTGCCCATTCATTTATTTCTTCAAGTACTTACGTCAGTATGAACTCATGGATATTTATTTTATACTTTGGGTTATAACTGAATATCACTTTATTTATTTTGTAGCTTAAATTATTCCAATTTTCGCCATTCAGTTTCAGGTAGCTTCTGTGTCTCTTGGATGTGTAGCCATCACTGTGGTGTTTTGTCTTGTTTCTGCGTATTTCCTTACTTTCTGGTAAGACAAGAAAGTCTCATTTTGCATATCCCCTGCCCCAGTGCTAGAAGCAAGCAAATCTCTCCAACAAGCCCTGGCTTCTTTTGTTGGAGAAAGGTATTAGAAAGTTAGAGCTGACACTAGATGTGCTCATTGCTACCGGGGGTTGTTACTTACGGGCCCTCTCGGTGGACAGAGTAAGGAAATACGTATGTGTACTAACTCGTGTGTATACATATCTCTATAATTACACATGCACACATACACATATATCTGCATCTATATTAAACTAAACAAGAGTTCCCATTGACGTCTCGAAATGTAACTCATCACCATCATGGTTCATTGCAGTCTTCCCATTACTTTTCTGTAAATTCCAACATTGAGATCCTGGCTCCCACCATCCACCACCCATGTATTTTGTTCAATCCCCGTATGTGTGTTCAGTGATTTCAGACTTGTTAATCTGCATCCCCATGAGAAACAGTTTTACAAACTAGAGTACGATGATTATGAATAGTTCCTTTTGTCTTTAGTCTTAAAATCTCTAGTCATTTCAGAAGCAATGTAGGTCAGCATTCTTTCTCACTCATCCCATTCAGTAAGATTATGCCATATATTTGTAACACTGTTAGATTCTTTTATTGCTGTCTGCATTCTGTCTTGGGGTTGCATAATTTCCCAATTGGTGTATTTTAAAGTTTGCTTTCCTTATGGCTTACTTTTGTGCTGTAAAACCCTGTGGGTTTTGGCAAATATATAGTATAATCTATCCACCACTGTAGTACAGAAAACTTTCCTCATCCTAAAAGTATCCCCGGCATTTCATGTAGTCAATGCTCTCTGCTCCCCAAACTCTTGGCAACCACTGATCTGTTTTCTGTCTCTAAAATTTTGTCTTTTCCAGAATGTATATTTCCTTACTTTCTGGGAAAACAAGAAAGTCTCATTTTGCATATCTCCTGCCCCAGTGCTAGAAGCAGTCAATTCTCCAAGAAGCGATGACTTCTTTTTTTGGATAAAGGTATTAGAAGGTAAGAGAATCACAAGGTCAAGAGATCAAGACCGTCCTGGCCAACATAGTGAAACCCTGTCTCTACTAAAAGTACAAAAATTAGCTGGGCATGGTGGCACACACCTTAGTCCCAGCTACTGGGGAAGCTGAGGCAGGAGAATTGCTTGAACCTGGGAGGCGGAGGTTGCAGTGAGCCAAGATCGCGCCACTGCACTCCAGCCTGGGCACTAGGGCCAGAGTCTATCTCAAAAAAAAAAAAAAAAAAAAGAAAAAGAAATGACACCAGATATGCCCATTGCTGCCGAGGTATTGTTGCTTCTGGGGTGCCATGTAAATAGAATCATACAGTACACAGCCTTTTCTGACTGGTTTCTCTAACTTAGTAATAATGCATATAAGACTTATCCATGTTGTTGCATGCACAGTATTTTTATTATTTTTATACCAAAACATGTATACATTTTTCTCAAAATATTATTCCCTTGACAACATCTGGTTAAGCCGAATGTTTAGTAAATGTCAGTAGGAGCCAGTGAAGAAGTGGGAAAAATTAGGTTTACAAAATTGGACAGAGAGGCAGGACATGATGGTAATATTTATTATGTGTTAAAATAACATTTATGCAACATATTGCAGAAAATTTAACAAAATTGCATGAAGCGCAGTTTGGGGTTTCCAACACGAAATGCCTATACGTTCCTGAAATTATATGGAGATATGCTTCACGTCAAGCAAAGTTCTATTTTTAAAAATCGTGATTTGAAAACATTAATTAGGAGGGTGTTTATATGTTTTTCATTAGAATTGTTCATTTTCCAGGCAGATTCAGAGTATCCTATTAAAATATCCAGATTACTTTGGAATTCTAATGTGTTCTATTTATTTAAAAACTCAGTTTACAAATATAAGAGCACAATTACTATTGAAAATGAAGTGTAATAAGTGGCACAAAGCTCTGATGTTTGGCTGTCTAAACCCAACATGAATTTCAGAAATCATCAACCAAATCAAAGACCCTGCAACAGCAGTCCCACTGCGGCCTTCCCTGCCCGAGGAGAAGGGCAGTGAAAAGATCATGGCCATGGTGAGGGTATGTTGGGAGGAATCTCCGGAGAAAAGACCTAGTTTCTCTTCCATCAAGAAAACTTTATGAGAGGCCATTCCCAGAGGGTAAGTTAGATGTGCAACAGATATTTACTCTCACTCAGTTAACCATTAGGATTTTAGAGCTGCCAGGCATGGTGGCTCATGCATGTAATCCCAGTGCTTTAGGAGGCTAAGGTAGGAGGATCCCTTGAGGCCAGGAGTTCAAGACCAGCCGGGTCAACATGGTGAGATTCTATATCTATAAAAAATAAAATAAAAAATTAGCCAGGTGTGGTGGTGTGAGCCTATAGTTCTAGTTTCTTAGGGGGCTGAGAATCGCTTGAGCCCTGGAGGTCAAGGCTCCAGTGAGCTATGATTGTGCCACTGTACTGCAGCCTGGGTGACAGAACAAGACCCTGTTCCTACAAAACAAAAAAAATTTAAGACTATATGGCTGTGCTTGGTTCTATGCGACTCATTCCCTCCCTCCCTCCCTCCCTCCCTCCCTCCCTCCCTTCCTCCGTCCCTCCCTTCCTCCCTCCCTCCCTTCCTCCCTCCCTCCTTCCCTTCCTCCCTCCCTCCCTCCCTCCCTTCCTCCCTTCCTCCTTCCCTCCCTCCCTCCCTCCCTCCCTTCCTCCCTCCCTCCCTTCCTCCCTTCCTCCCTTCCTTCCTCATACACTCACTCAGGGCTTACCATACACAAAGCACTGTACTACATGCTGGTTGCAGTGGAGTGAGAAATTCTCCCTTTATTTCATAGATGCCACAAAAATGGATCAGATATTAATAATTTTACTGCCTTCTTTGTCTATCTCAGATGTCACTAATCAATTAAAGTCCTTGTTTCCAGGGAGTTTTGACATGGCTTCAGAATCTGTTTCAAATCAGCATTCCAAGGGTTAGGCTAATCAGTTCGGACCGGACTATGAGATAAAAATTACTCACCACCTGTAGGGTAGGTTATGACTTAAATCATTCATGCGTCTCCAGCAACTTTCTCAATAGTAGCTTCCTTTACACCAGATAATTGTATCATCTTTCGGTACATGAATTTAGGAAGACATGCCCATGTTAGGGGTAGCTTGAGTTGGTGGAAAGAGCCCCAGGCTGGGAGTCAGGTGTCTACTCTTAATTTGGACCTTCAGCTATGCATTCTTTTTTTAAAAAAAAAAAAAAATTTTTTGGGGTCAGGGTCTTGCTCTGTTGCACAGGCTGGAGTGCAGTGGTATGATCTTGGCTCACCGCAATCTCTGCCTCCCGGCTTCAAGTGATTCTCATGCCTCAGCCTCCTGAGTAGCTAGGACTGCAGGTGTGTGCCACTACGCCTGGCCAATTTTCGTATTTTTAATAGAGACAGGGTTTCGCTATGTTGGCCCGGCTGATCTCAGACTCCTGGCCTCAGGTGATCTGCCTGCCTCGGGCTCCCAAAGTGCTGGGATTGCAGGCGTGAGTCACCACACCTGGCTTCAGCTATGTCTCTTTTTCTTTTTCTTTCTTTTTTTTTTTTTTTGAGATGGAGTCTCTCTCTCTGTCACCCAGGCTGGAGTGCAGTGGTGCAATCTCAGCTCACTGCAAGCTACGCCTCCTGGGTTCACACCGTTCTCCTGCTTCAGCCTCCTGAGTAGCTAGGACTACAGGTGCCTGCCACCATGCCTGGCTAATTTTTTTTGTATTTTTTTTTAGTAGAGACAGGGTTTCACTGTGTTAACCAGGATGGTCTCGATCTCCTGACCTCGCGATCCACCCACCTCAGCCTCCCAAAGTGCTGGGATTACAGGCGTGAGCCACCGCGCCCGGCCAGCTATGCATTCTTAACACGATAGCCCTGTGTTCTGCATTTCCAAGCTCATAAGTTTTTAAATTTTAAAAATTATTTTTATATTGTTTTTAAAATTAACAAATGAGGCTGGATGTGGTGGCTCAAGCCTGTAATCCCAGAACTTTGGGAGGCTGAGGCAGGTGGATCACCTGAGGTCAGGAGATTGAGACGGGGCTGACCAACATGGTGAAACCCCGTCTCTACTTAAAATACAAAAATTAGCCAGACGTGATGGCACACACCTGTAATCCCAGCTACTCGGGAGGCTGAGACAGGAGAATCGTTTGAACCTGGGAGGTGGAGGTTGTTGTGAGCTGAGATCGCAGCACTGTACTCCAGCCTGGGTGACACAGCAAGACTCCATCTCAAAAAAATAAAATAAAAATAAAAAATAAAATTAACAAATGAAACATTGTTTATATTTATGGTATACCTGATGTTTTGGGACATATATACTGTGTGGAATGATTAAATCAAGGTAGTTAACCTAAAGGTACATCTTAAGTAAGCTTAAGATACATCCTGATTTTTTACTTAGAAAATATGGACCTCAATGTTATAAGTCGATTTACCTATGTGAGTCTAGGTCTCCTCATCTGAAGTTGAGGAATTTAAATGAGTTCTCTGAAGACCCTTCGAAAACAAAGGACTAATGGAATCTAGAACTGCCCCTTACATTAGACCATCTGAAAAGAAAGGAATGACCCATCCCACAATCTGCATTCTCAATGTCTGTTGGGAAGCGGGGAATGGGCCATTGAAGGCGGCTATTTGTTGAGTGCCTGTGGATGGATGTGGCCCTAGACACTTTATGCATGTTATCTCCCTACATCCTCAAAATAACAGTGTAATCATACGTACATGAGGTACGTGTGATTATCTTCATTTTCCAAATGAGTGAAGTGAGACTCAGAGAAATGAAGGAGGCAGCTTAAGCTCAGAGGGCTGGTGAAAGGCTCTGTCCTGTCACGCAGCTGCATTGTCATTGTCACCTCCCCGATGTCCGCTGCCAACCCTTAACTAGGACACCTGAAAGGTGAGAAATATTTTCCTGGAATGTGTAGTTGGAAGCTCTGTTCCACTGAGGCCCTAAGGGTCTTGGGAGAAAACATCAATGTCTGATTTCTTTTAAAGCCACGTGAGCATACTGGCCAGTATGATGAGCAAGCTGGAAGTGTATGCCAATCACCTGGAGGAATTGGTGCAAGAGAGGACCAGCCGGCTGACCGCAGAGAAGAGGAAGGTGGAGAAGCTTCTGTCCACTATGACGCCCAGGTATTCGGAAGCAGTGGGGACTTGACAAAGCTGCAGCATCACCATCTAGCAGCCCCACATAGGCGGGATAATTTCCATGATTACTTTTCTAAGAGGATGTCAGGCTCTTCTAAAAAGGGTCAGGCATTTTTTGTGCAGTTTGGTACACCTGTAAAGGGAGATAGAAGCAAACTCTCCTGAATCCATAGGAATAGAGGCTGCAGTCCGTCTTTTACGTGGCGGGTGGCGGATGCAGCAACAGGAGAGTAGCCACTAGATGGCGCCCTCGTTTCACGAGTCTGACTAATTGCTACCTCCCCTGTATTTGATTGTAGGTCCAAAACCTCTGCACAGTTTAATATGTACCTGTGGCTTCACATTCAAATATTGCTCCATTTTTTGGTTCTGTTTCTACATGTTCACTCTCTTAACACTTGGCAGAAGTATTTGCTGTTAAAATTCCTGTGCACTTCTTGCATGTCTAGACCAAAGACATGGGGGCAGGGATTTTTAGTGAGATTGGTTGACTGAAATGAAATTGATTTGTGGATTGGTGAATGGTTATATTCGCTTCCACAACTGCAGAGTCTTTACACTCTAACTCTATAACCAATATACATCAAGAAAATCCTTTTTTTTTTTTTTTTTTTTTTTTTTTTTTTGAGACGGAGTCTCGCTCTGTCGCCGGGCTGGAGTGCAGTGGCCGGATCTCAGCTCACTGCAAGCTCCGCCTCCCGGGTTCACGCCATTCTCCTGCCTCAGCCTCCCGAGTAGCTGGGACTACAGGCGCCCGCTGCCTCGCCCGGCTAGTTTTTTTTTTGTATTTTTAGTAGAGACGGGGTTTCACCGTATTAGCCAGGATGGTCTCGATCTCCTGACCTCGTGATCCGCCCGTCTCGGCCTCCCAAAGTGCTGGGATTACAGGCTTGAGCCACCGCGCCCGGCCAAGAAAATCCTTTTTGTAAGGGCATTATGTGACCCTCTCTCCTACCCCCCCACCCCACCATTTATACCCATCAATTAAAATATCTCTTTAGAGAGAATGCAAGTGGAGAAGTGGATGTTGAAAGAATTCCTGTAGATAATGAATTTTGTTAACCAAAAGATTAGCCACTGAAGCAAAAGGACCAATGAGGACAACTTCGTGGGAGTCTGTAGGAGATGAGATGAGTAAGATCCATTAAAAAATGATCCCTTTCTCTGGTTTCAGCTTCACTGGAGAACAACTCCTAGCTGGAAGGTCCGTGGAACCAGAACATTTCGAGTCTGTGACAATCTTTTTCTCTGACATTGTTGGATTCACAAAGCTATGTTCTCTCAGCTCCCCCTTGCAAGTCGTCAAGCTCCTCAATGACCTGTACAGTTTATTCGATCACATCATCACAAATTACCGTGAGTATAAGGTGAGACGTCTCATCCTGGCTGTGAGGTCATGCGTGCTCCTTGCGGGCTGTCTCTGTGGCCTGACGGAGGATGGAACTGATTCCAGACATCAGCCAGGAGGAAACTCCATTTCAGTCTATGTCACTTCATGGCAGAAACTCAGTATTTTATTTGTATGTTTTGTTGGAAGAGGTCTTGATTAGTCACAGATGTATGTGCTTGTCAAAAATCACCAGTTTCCTCTGTTTTTCCTCTGTTTCCTTCCATTATTTCATCTCACAGTAAACACTTTTTAAAAAGAGGCATTGATCTTCTACTGGCTAATTCCTTCCCGTCTTTCCTAAATACATTTCCTTCCGAGGCAGAGAGGCTCCTGTTTAGTCTCCTTCAAAGATTGTCCTTGGATCTTGTGTGGGTCTCACCTCTGTTGTCCTGATCCTTAGCAATTCAGAGTGAAGAAAGACTCCCAATTTTAGACTATCAGACTCATGGCTAAAAGGGGGGCAGCAACAATTACCTGCTGGGTGCTACTCTGGGAGACAGAAGGACACGGTCACCTAGAGTGAAAACCATTTTTGATGGGGAAAACAGAGACATTTTGGCTCTTCATGACTGCCAGGTGGTGGTGGTGATGAGGGCTGCTTTCTGTGTGTTCTGACTCTTTAGAAGGGGTCAGATCATGACTCCAGGCACAGTACCGTGTGCCTGTGCTCATATATGCCTGGTGGGCAGCCACAAGTGCACCAGCTCCGACCACAATCCCAGGGCCCTGCCTCTGCCTGTGGACCTGGGGACAGCGAGATTTGGGGGACAGTGTGGTCATATGGTCACATATCTCAGTGACAGAGTGACACATCTTCAATGTTGATCTCCCAGTGTTCCCCTCAAATGACGCCTCTGTTCAAGGGTGAAAGAAAGGATAGTATAGATAACCTTGAAGAGCAGACCACACACACCCAACAAAATCAGAGCCCTCCCTGCTCAGGAGGACGTCTTCTGGGATTTTCCTCTTAGTATTACCTGCTCAGTTGTGTTTTGCTTGAGCTCATTTTAAAACTTAGTTTGTATTTCTAAAGGATGTTATCACGGTGGGGAGAGGAAACCCAGAAGCAGGTGAGGCTTGTTGACTGGTTGACTTCGCATCATTTCGGGGTCACCAGAACAGAGGTGTTCTTACCGTCTGGCTGATGCCTGCAATTCAGCCTTCACCACATCATCTTTGGATTCTGCTAAAATGCAAATGTGTCTGGAAAGGGCTGTAACTACTTGTCATTTATTTCTCTCTTGTGAATGACAGATCTGAAAGCTGATTTTATTAGGAGGATAGAGGGGGAAGAGGACAGACAGGCAGATACATACTATATATATGAATACAGTTTGTATAATGTATAATGCTTACCCATTTATAAATGTGTCTAAGAGCCCTTGTGTGGGGCGTGGACATTTCGGGTTGGGGGAGATGGTCTCTGCTTGACCGATCCACCTCACCCTTCCTGGTTGACTCCAGGAGCACACTGCTCCCTGTCTCACTGGTTCTGAATTTGGGCTGGGGAAATAGAGTCACTGCTGCTATTGGATTTCAGAGGAGGAAACAGTAAATGTGGGGAAGGAGGCTGGGGGAAGGAGGGTGAGGTGGGCTTTGTGGAAGAGCCATTACAAGGGCAGGAACTGAAGAAATGCTGGAACTTGCATGGGGTGGAGGTCAGGGAGTGTGACACATCCAAAAACAGGGCCTCGAGGCTGGGGACGAATGTGGGGCCTTAATCTCTGACCCACCCCGACCCTTGGCCTCCCTCATGGGAAACAAAGGTCACTCTCGCTTTGTTTTCAGGTTGAGACCACTGGAGACGCATACATGGTGGCTAGCAGACTCCCTATCTGCAATTGAAGCCAGCATGTGGCTGAGATTGCCACCATGTCCCTGCACTTCTCAGTGCCACCATTCATTTGCTTCCAGACTGGGCACTTGCTCCAGGAGAAGCTCCAGCTTCGGATTGGCTTCCACACAGGTAGACAAAACTGATGGCCTGATGGTCCAGGGATGACGGCAGGTCGTTCTGGGTTCCATTCCTGTGCCCAAGGCTTTTAGGAACCTGGACATTGAACGGTAACCTCTTTAGGGGAAATAAAAGATTGAATTGTCTCTGCATGTGTGTTTCTATTTAGCTAGGTTGCTTGGTAACAACAAGGACACACAGTGGCTTCAATGTATTCAACCAAAAATAAAGACTGGGCGCGGTGGCTCACACCTGTAGTCCTAGCAAATTGGAAGGCCGAGATGGATGGATTACCTGAGCTCAGGAGTTTGAGACCAACCTTATCAACATGGTGAAACCCTGTCTGTACTAAAATACAGAAAACCAGCCAGGTGTGGTGGCAGGCACCTGTAATCTCAGCTACTCAGGAGGCTGAGACACAAGAATTGCTTGAACCTGGGAGGCGGAGGTTGCAGTGAGCTGACATTGTGCCACTGCACTCCAGCCTGGGCAACAAAGTGAAACCCTGTCAAAAAAAAGAAAAGAAAAGAAAAAAGAGAGAGAAAAAAAAGGAAGAGACCAAACCCCAGGACGGGTTATATAGGGCTACTTTTCCTCCACGCCTCAACATCAAATGCCCTTTGATGTGGTCTGTGTTTGCCAACTCATGGGCATGTGATCTGTGCAGAAGTGGTCCATGCTTCATTTCATGCTCTTCTGTTACCATCTGGCAATTCTTAATCATCTTTGCACAAAGTATCCTGTGTTTTCACTCTGCACCTGTTCCAGCAAATTTTGTAGCCAGTTATGCTACTACCTATCTTTCAGGGCTCAACAAAAACAAAACTCCATCCTCAGAATGAATTGCTCCCATGTTTGTGCCACTGTTGGCATTGTTCACAGCTCTAGTTCATGAGTGACACGGTCATTTAATGACCGTGATGATGTCGCTTTCCAGCAGGAGTTGGGGTTCTGTTGGTTTCCTTTCTGTAAACCCTAAAATCTATTGCCAAACTTTGCCCCAAGAGGGCGCATCACTACATTTGTTGATTTGATGCGCATCATAGAGTCCAGCCTCAGGCAATGCAGAGCAGTTATGGTCTTTGGTTCTCCACTCTTCAGGTCCTGTGGTGGCTGGTGTGGTGGGAATTACCATGCCCAGATACTGTCTATTTGGAGACACTGTGAACATGGCATCCAGAATGGAGAGCAGCAGTTTGCGTGGGTATCACTGATGACACTTTGTAAACACAATATTGTTATCCCTCCAGGCCCCTAGCTTTAACCAGGGGATACTTTTAGAAGAGGCATTTGCTTTTTGCCTACTGTTTTCCTTCTGGAGGATAAGATCATTATCCACTTCAGGCAACACTGATCACACACTTTATAGACAGGGTTTTGCACTGTGCTCTCGTTAGAACCATGCAAATACACATACCCTCCTTTCTTCTGTGACTTTCCATTCTAAGCAATCACACATGCATATAATAAAATTACTTAAATGAAGAGCAGGAGTTGGAAAACTTTTTCTTTCTTTCTTTCTTTTTTTTTGAGATGGAGTCTTACTGTGTCACCCAGGCTGGAGTGCAGTCGTGTGATCTTAGTTCATTGTGACCTCTGCCTCCTGGGTTCAAGGGATTCTCCTGTCTCAGCCTCCCAAGTTGCTGGGATTACAGGCATGTGCCACCACACCCGGCTTTTTTTTTTTTTTTTTTTTTTTTTTTTTTGATTTTTAGTAGAGACTGAGTTTCACCATGTTGGTCAGGCTGGTCTTGAACTCCTGACCTCAAGCGATCCACCCACTTCAGCCTCCCAAAGTGCTGGGATTAGCTGGCATCAGCCACTGCATCTGGCCTGGAAAACCTTTTCTATACAGGGCCAGACAGTAAATATTTCAGGCTTCAGGGGCCATAGAGTCTTTGTTGTAACTACTTAACTGCTGTTGTAGCTCAAAAGCAGCAATAGACAATATGTCAATCAACAGGCATGGCCATGTTCCAATAAAACTTTATTTGCAAACACAAGTAGTGGGCTGAATTTGGCCCATAGGTGATAATCTGCCCTTCTCCAAGGTAGAGTATATTCTTGGTGGTACAGAAGAAATCTATAGCCAGGACATCCAGGGAATATTACATCCTTTTGCTTTATAGTAATTTTATTTCATTGACCATTGCCAGGCACTTGTATGCTGTTTATCAGTTGGGACATGTAAAAAAGAATTACTCAGTGATGTAAGTTTCAAAAAGATTTAGGTGATTAACATTGTTTTGTTTTAAATTTGTAAATTTTCCACAGGGCAAAGGAGAGCAAACAACTTTCTGGTTGAAAGGTAAAGAAGGCTTCACTCTTCCACTCCCCGAATTTACTCAGGAAAAAGCCAAAGTCCCAGAGATATTGTGAGGTGAGTGTTTTCTTTCAAGATGTTTGTGAATTTGTGGAGTCATGTGAAAGTCTTTGGGAACCTTTCTTTGAGACCCGGTCAATATTCCATTTAAGAGGTGTGTTTCCAGGGCATTGGTCCAGTCTCCCACTAGGGGGAGCCTTCTAGCTGGCCTCTTCCAATCCCGGTGTTTGCTCCCAGTTTGTGCCTCCAGAAAATGTAGGCTTGGAGGAGCTGAAGATGGTGAACTCATTTCATGGGGTGCCAGGGCTGGCCTGTGGCTCTCAGCCCTGTGCAACTGCCCTAGCTGCCAGATATTTACAGCCCATTAACTTGAGAATTTGCAGTGAACCCAGTTTCATTCTGTAGGAGGGGAAAGTGGAGAGGATGAAGCCTGTCTTTCCTGTGCAAGGTGCCTGCTCTCTAACCTTTGGTGCTGATTTTCCTTATCAGTTAATCAGCTTGCAAGGAGATAGGAGCCCATATCTGACAGCATCTTGAGAATGTGTTCAGGAAAAAAAGCTCTAAGCCATGAGCAGCCCCTGAAATCCAACAGGGCCGAGACTATTTCAAGCAGCCAAGCCCTCTGCAGTTATTGAAAAGCCTGGTTCTGAACCCTGAGTTACTGTGAGAGGGGCAGCTCCCAAATGCATAATGCCCTCTACCCAATGTATTGCCTAATTCCTTTCCTACTCACAGAGCAAAAACTCCTGCAGTCAAGGCTTGAATTTTAAGAAGAATTTCTCAGTCATTTATGGAGACTTTAATTTAAAAAAAATTTCCAGTAGACAAAGACGAACCCATCGATTCCTGCTACGATAGTTTTCCCTTCTACATAATGAATAGGATTCCATGTTGTTTTATTGAGCGGATCTTTTAATAGATTTGCTGAACCACTAATGCATTTATAGTACTTCTTTCTTCATCTCTTGCAACTCCTCACATCCAGATATCTTTTGTGTGGTTGCTCCTGAATCTGGCAGAGCAATTTGAATGAAATATTGTGTTTGAGACCTTTTCCTGTTGAACTTCCCATGATTGAAGGAGCGAAAATCAATGAGACCAGAAATAGTTTCTTTCTTGCTGGGTCTTTGAGCTGCCTTTGCTGAGATTCTTTTGAGACCTGTATGGGAAATAAACTACTTTTTGATTTATTGAAGCTTTTGACACCAAATTATATCAAAGATTTGGTGGAATTCTTGCCTTTCTTTAGGAAGAGGGACACAAAAGCACTCTCACTTCCCAATTAATCCAGTCTTCATTGAGCTCCTAAGCATTTCCATTAGCAGTATTTTGCTTCTGCCCAGAAAGGGAAGACTGAATTCTACATCCATCACAGGCTCCGTTTTCTATATGAAAATTTTGTTTTCATTGTGGTAGGCTTCACTCCTCCCCAGAGGCCTTCAGCATTGGGGACTGAAGGCTTTAGACTGATACTTAAAGGGAGAGAAGGCAGAAGGTATTTATGTGGAGAGAAGAGGAAGACTTTCTCCTGCTACTTTAGCATGGAGACAGTAGGCCAAATTTATCTTCTCATTCCCCATAACTCCTTTTCTTGAGATAATGGCTCTGGATCCCAAACACCTTGCTCAACCATGAAAGGAAACAAGGCCACCTCTACTATGAGGCCTCCTAGAGAGTTAGGATAGTCCTCATCCATCCATCCATCCATCCACTTATCCATCTATCCATCCATCCGTCCATTCACCCATCCACCCGTCCACCTATTCATGTGAACATTCTTTAATCCAAGGAGCATTTATTAAGCACTTACTCTGTGCCATTCTGGGGTACACAAGAGAATATAAACTTTCTCTTGATCTTTAGCTTGCAGTCTAGTTAGGGAGAAGAAAGCATAATTGCATGTCATAAAGCAATATTAAGGACTAAGAGCTATACACAAAAGCGTAGCAGTAACTAAGCAATCCATCACTGTGACATTAAAAGAATATTAGAAAATAATATGCAGATGAAGGAATGGGGCCAGGTAAGGCAGTTGCCTATTATTATCATGTCTTTGTATTGTGTGTGTGTGTCTTTTTTTCTTCCAGCCCTAGCCCATATGCTTACATAAGTTATGTTCATGTAATATAGAGTTAGTTCTGCCTTTCTTATTGAACATCATAACATAAACATTTGGCATCTAGACACTCATACACACAAAAACACACATGTGTGCACACACATCCATATGCACACACATGCACATATATATATGCACACCGTCATATATATACACACACATGCATAAATACACACACATACGTACATGGAGAAGGAGAAAGCGAGAGTGTCTTTATGGATCACAACTAAGAATTTTGATAAGAACATTCTTCTAAATCTATATTCAGTATTTTTTCTATGTCAGCTAAGGATACCTAGGGGAGAATTACTTTTCTTCTTTTTCTTAATGTTTCTATTGTGTTTAGAACTAATGAGAATTTACAAGAGATTGTTTTGAGAGTACTTTATCTTATTTTCTCAAAGGAGAAGTTATGAGAGAAGAAGGGTAATCAAACATCATGAGGCTGTTAGTTAATGTGAAGTCAAAACACATCCAGTTGCTGGTGAGAGACATTCGGGCTTTATAGGCAGGGATGACCCAAAGACCTTTTCCCCAAAATGTTAATCAATGTCTTAACCATTCTGGCTAACACGGTGAAACCCTGTCTCTACTAAAAATACAAAAAATCAGCTGGGTGTGGTGGCGGGCGCCTGTAGTCCCAGCTACTCTGGAAGCTGAGGCAGGAGAATGGCGTGAACCCGGGAGATGGAGCTTGCAGTGAGCTGAGATCATGCCACTGCACTCCAGCCTGGGTGACAGAGCTAGGCTCCATCTCAAAAAAAAAAAAAAAAAAAAGTCTGTGGCATACATGCGAGTCTAAGAAGTTCTAGTTGTAGAAACCCCTGGGAGAATTGGGGAATTAGCTATCAACATGATATATTAACACTGTAAACTGTAGTCATAGGTTATTTATTTTAAGGCATTTTTTTTATTCCATAGCACCAGGTAGAGATACAAGATCATAAAACACAATGATGAAATACAGCAAAACTAATAGAACATTGGTTTATTCTGACAGCAAAGGATTTGAACATGGCTATGAGTATGCTATTTAAGAGTTTTCTACTAGAACCAATAAAATATGTTTTCTGTTTTTCCTGACTACAAAAAATCTGAATTTACAGAAAGAAGAGATCCTAAACTCGTTGGAACTCCAGCTTAGGGACCAAATCTAGACTAGATTGAGTCATTTTACTCTAGCCTATTACTCAACAAACATACACTTCATGTATCTGGATATTTCATAACTAGTTTAATTTCTGAGTTCACTAACACAAGTTGTAAAAGAATCATCAAACTGCAGATTGCAAAACTTCTCAAATACATTAAATACAGAGAGACAAATGCATGTGTTGTTTTCAAATTATAAGCCTCCTAATTAAGTCTTTACATAACTAAGAACTTAGAACTCTGCCTTTTCCTATCACAGTCCAGCCAATTCTCTACCAGAATTTCAGTTTGTATTTTGTTGACAATGTAAATCATTTTTATGGGCATATTCTGGATCATTGGGGTGGCCAGTTACCAAGATGTGCTACTGCATAATTTCATTGGCCACATTTGCATTTGTGTTTCTGATTTTGTGTTAGCTTCATTCTAATCATCGTAAGTGAATGAGACAAAACCAGATGTAAGCTTCGATGTTTAAGTGAAAGCTAAATGAGATCAGACCATTTCTTACAAATGAAAACTTTTTAGTAGAGCAAATAGAGAAAAATAGCATTGAGTGTCACAAGGCATTTATTTGTAGGATTGAGTCACCAAACTCACAACACCTGTGTCGTTGGAGTCACTTTATAGTCATGTTTCCAGCAGCGGTTTCACTGGGGCAATGCCATGTTATTAGGTTAAATTAATGTGAGTTGTATTCTTCTTGTGGTTATTCTTTTTGCAAATATTCCTATTTAATTTGTAATTTTATTTTGACTTTAGAAGTATACATCTGCTATAAAAACACGGAGTTTATACCTATATCATGTTTATATATTTAACAAATGGTATAATACATACAAATTAGGTCAGTACTAGGCGTTGTCAAGAATCCATTTCCTTTATATCATTAGGTTTGAGCGAAACTATTGTATTCCACTCTGATTCCCACATCATCTCCCACGTCATCAGTTGAAAGGTTGGAACCCCCTGCCTGGGAGCTCAGCTCTGGTCCTTAGGTAGAATGATACTGCCTCAATGACAAAGCCCCTTTTCGGCAAAGTCAGCTATTAATGTGTGTTCTGTATTTAGCGATGACTTTGTAGTTGCACCCTATATTCTCTTCAAAATGCTCAGTGGTACTTGGTTGGGTGTGCTAACCTTTTAAAGTTAAAATAGCTTTCAAAGGAATTCACTGCAGCCCTGACTTGAGTATGGAGAAAGGAGACTTCTCCCACAGCTTTAGAAGGACTGTGAGATCTAAGGGAATAATCTAAGTTTTTAGGAAGTAATCTAACTTTTTCTTAGAAAGAAGAAAGCATCACCGAATTCACAGAAATGTTTGGAGCGCATATTTGGCAAAGTGCTATTCTCTGCTCCCCAACAATGTGGTCTTCTGTTTGTTCTTTTCGGCAGCACAATAAATGTGTTTGTCATTTGCTGAGGATGATTGTGGGTGGAGGAGCAGCAGCTGCCTGGCTAACTCCTACAACATGGCACAAATCCCCAACATCATGATGAGGTGGTGGAGAACATCTGTGGACCAGAAGGGGAGGGAGATGGCACTCAGAGACAGTTCTGAAAGGGTTAACAAAAGAATTAACAAGAGTCAACTCAGGGGTCTTCCTAAAATTCCATACATTTTAGACAAAGTCGATTTTGTTCATCTCTTGGGGATTCTGTAGCTCACATTTATCAGTTCAAAGAACCTGACAGATAAACCTAGGTTGTGGACCTCTGACAAATAGAAATCAGTGATGGTGCATTGTACTCTAGGGCTTTCACTATAGAACTTAAAAATGATGAGAATATAGGACTGGAGTTTTAGAAGTTGATTTACATGATTTTCCTGTAATGATGAGAGCAAAATCTGGCTGTGAGATTATGAATAAATGAACTGTCTTACCCCATCTCCTCATGTAGTTGCTT